GGGGGGGGTAGACCCACTGCCTCCCTAACAAGCATGTCGGTTAGTTCAATATTAGTCTCCCCAGACCCCACCCATATACACACTAGCTCACTTCTGATTGGTAGTTCCTAAGACCAATGACCTTCGCACATGGTTACGGGGGTGTTCCGTAATGTCCTTGATATCGCGCATTGTATATTTCAGCACACCACTGCTTTTAACACTCCAAAAACATGGAGAAACTGGGTCTAACACGACCACCCTACAGAGTGCTGCAACCTATGTCACAGGCATTCTCTTTCTCAGAATGAAAACATAAATGCAAGACACAGCAGAAACCAAACAACACAGCGGGACACACCCATAACATTCAGAAAAGTCGACCAACCCACCAAATTTGTGAATGAAAAGTGACCTACTCTATCTGGGGAGACTAATGTTGAACTAACCAGCATGTCATGAGTTGACTAATTAGGGGTTTCCTTCAAAGACGGAGTGAATCTGCCTGAGAGGCAAGGAACCAACAGTCTGCCTACAAATAAGCTAGATCTGTAAAATGGATTACACACAAAACTCAAGTTCTGGAGAAAGCCTAAAGTCAAGAAGTGGATGAATAATCAGAACTGGTAATCCAAATTCCTCTTGCTTGTCAGAAAAAGAAAATAAATTGAGCAGGCTATTCAACTAAGTTTACTCAGGGGTCACAATTTTGACAAATGGGGATGATCATGGGCCAGAAGCCTGAGACCAAGCAAAGAAAGATCATTAATACAATACAAGTGACACTGATCTGCTAGCCACTTGCTAGACTTCCACCGGCCAGATTTGGCATGTGGGCTGCCAGTTGAATGGCCCCGAACTAGAGCATATCATGACATGAGACAACTGAAGAAGAAGAGACAGACAGACAGATGGGCGGACAGACAGACAGATGGGCGGGCAGGCAGGCAGACAGACAGAGGGGTTAAGGGAATAAAGAGAGAGTCAGAGAGACGATACGGGACAGTTTGGCACCATGATATGGATGAACATCTGAGACAGAAATGACTGACAGTACGTGAGAAAGAAGGTTGTGGAGAGGCATGACTATCCATGCCATACAGCACCGGCTATAAAAAGAATCATATACAAACAGTACAACTTCGATTTTGTTTCTAATGTCTCACTAGTTCATGTACTGCTACTACATCAATACCACACTAATAGTGTAAGTCCCTGGAATCACCTGCCTCATTGCTACTGACATTTCTACTTTCCACACAAGCAAACTGGCAGCACAACCTTCTATTTGAAATATTCATTAACAAAAAGTTTTGTTTCAAGCCCATATGTGTGCATGCATGTATGTATGTGAGACAGACAGACAGGCAGGCAGACAGACAAAACAAAAAAGGAGTAAGAGAGAACAAGTTAATGGACAAACAAACTTCCTTTTCAGAGGGTTAACATTTCTGGCACGCAGGCCTGTCTTACATTTGGCCCTTCCAAGACACCCACTCCTGACCCAATCGAATTACATGTTTATGCTTATCCATACTGTGATGAACCCCTTTGCATGGTCCTACACTCCAGCGAGTCAAGTGGGAAATCTGTGGCAACAAACTAACCGCCTTGGGGCCTCACCCCCCTCACACGACTCCACTCACATCACAGGATTCCACTCATTCACACACACACACTCAACACTAACACCACCACTGGCATTCACACACTCAGAACACACACTCACACACACACTCACTCACTCACATAAAGCTGAATCCTGGCCACAAAACCCCCCCCACGTACACCCACCCACATACACACCATAAACCCACCTACATGGCCCACAACCCCCCCCCACCCACTCATAAACCCACACATACACACCCCACACACTCACTCACACACACCCACACTCACCCACACACCCCCCACTCCACCCCCCCCACCCCTCACTCCACCCACACACCACTCCAACCCCCACACACACCCACTCCCACACCCTCACTCTCACACACACAAACACCTCACCAAACTCCCCACACACAAACACACACTCGCACTCACCACTCACACAACCACACCCCACTCCACCCTGCCCACACACCTCCTCCCACACCCACACTCGTCCCCCAATCCCAACCACACACCCCACACAACCCACACACACCCCTACGCACTCTCCTCACTCCACACACTCACAACAACACCACACAAAAAACTCACCCACCCACCCAAACCCACCCCCCCACACACACCCCCCCACCCCACTCACCCCCCACATACTCACTTACCACCCACCCCCTCCCCCACACACCTCAGAGCAAGCACACATCTTACACACCTCACCCACACCCCTCCACACCCCACCCACCCCCCCCACAACCCTCATCCACCACCCTCACCCACACTCACCCACACAAACCTCAACCCCCATCCCCCCCATCTCTCACCCATACCACCAACCACCCACATACACCCCCTCTAACCCCACACTCCCCCCCTCCACACCACACCCCCCTCTACCACCCCATAACCCACCACAACACAAACCACTCAACACACCCTCACAACAACTCACACCAACCCACTCATCCCCCCACTCCCCCCTATACACACACTCCCCCCTCCCTCACCCCCTCCACCTACAACACTCTCCCTTACCTCCCACACCCACTCACTCACACCCCCCCTCCCACACCACACCCACCCACCACAATCTCCCCCACACACACACCCACTCACTCACCCACTCACTCACTCACAACACTACCCACCCACAACCACACTCACTCTACACCACACCCCCCACATCCTCACTCCCAACACACCACAACCTCTCACACACACACACACACCCCACACACCTCCCCACGCCATTCACACACCTCACACACACACACACTCAATCCCCCACCCTCACCCTCACACCCCCCTTACGCATACACACTCCCACATACTCCCCCCCACACACCACACACTTACTCACACACTGTCTCAGCCCCACCCCCCATTTACTTACTCCCACACCCCACTCCCGCCCCCCCCATACCCCACCCCACTCACTCAACACTCCCCACCACACACACACACACATTTGAACCCCCCCACCCCCCCACCCCCATCACCCACTCCCCCCCCCCTACAACCCCATACCCCTCATTACCCCACTCCCCCCCCCAACCCCTCTCCCACCACCCTCCACACCCGACCACCCCTCCACCCACCCACCCACACCCCTCACCACCCCCCCACCTCTCACCCCCTCCACCCACCCACCCCCCCCACCCCTCACCCCCCCACCCACCCCCCCCCCCCCTCTCCCACCCACCCCCATCCAAAAACCACCCCTCCCTCACCCCCCCCCACCCACCCCCCCCCCCTCTCCCCACCCACCCCCTCCCCTCCACCCCCCACCCCCCCACTCCCCCCCCCCCTTTCCCTCCCACACTCACCCCTCCCCCCCCCCACCTCCCCCCTCTCCCCCCTCACCTCACCCCCCCCCCCCCCTCTCTCCCCCCCCCTCCCCCCCCCCTCACTCCCCCCCCCCCTCCTCTCTCTCACCCTCACTCACCCAACCCCCCCCCCTCCACCTCCCCCACCCATCCCCTCTCCCCCCACCACCCCATCCCCTCTCTCCCCACCTCACTCATGCCCTCTCTCCCCCCTCCCCCCCCCCTCACCCACCCCCTCCCTCACCCCCCCACTCCCCCCCCTCACTCACCCCTCCTCACCCCCCCCTTACTCACCCCCCCCCCCTCACTCCCCCCCCCCTCTCCTCAACCCGCCCCCCACTCCCCCCCCCCCACCTACCCCCCCCCCTCACTCCCTCCCCCCCCCCCCTCACCCCCCCCCCCCCCCCACTCACCCCCCCCTCCCCCCCCCCCCACTCACCCCCCCCTCTCATTCCCCCCTCACTCACCCCCCCCCTCCTCATTCCCCCCTCACTCACCCCCCCCCCCTCTCATTCCCCCCACTCACCCCCCCCCCTCCTCATTCCCCCCCCACTCACACCCCCCCCCCTCTCATTCCCCCCTCACTCACCCCCCCCCACTCACCCCCCTCTCCCCCCCCCCATCCCCCCCCCCCCACCCCCTCTCATTCCCCCCTCTCATTCCCCCCCTCACCACCCCCCTCTCATTCCCCCCCTCACTCACCCCCCCTCATTCCCCCCCTCACTCACCCCCCTCTCATTCCCCCCTCACTCACCCCCCTCTCATTCCCCCCTCACTCACCCCCCCTCATCCCCCCCTCCCCTCCCCCCCCCTCACTCACCCCCCCCCCCTCACTCACTCCCCCTCACTCACCCCCCCCCCCTCACTCACCCCCCCCCCCTCACTCCACCCCCCCCCTTCCCACTCACCCCCCCCCCCCACTCACTCACCCCCCCTCACCCCCCCCCCCCCTCCCCCCCCCCCCCACTCACCCCCCTCTCATTTCCCCTCCCCCCTCTCATTCCCCCTCACCACCCCCCCCTCTCACCCCCTCCCCTCCCTCACCCCCTCCCCTCCCCTCACTCACTCACCCCCCCCCCCCCCCTCACTCACCCCTCTCCATTTACCCCCCTCACCCCCCCCCCCCCTCTCTCATTCCCCCCTCACCACACCCCCCCCCCCTCATTCCCCCCTCATCTCACCCCCCCTCTCATTCCCCCCTCACTCCACCCCCCCCCCTCTCATTCCCCCCTCACACCCCCTCCCCTTCTCTCACAACCCTCACCAACCCTCTCTCACCCCCTCACTCACCCCCTCACTCACCCCCTCACTCACCCACCATCTCTCACCCACCCTCTCTTACCCCCTCACTCACCCACCCTCTCTCACATCCTCACTCACCAAGAAAAAGGAAAGACACACAATTCAAACAATTTTAATAAAGTTGTTATCAACAACAACAATAAAAATGGCAAGACTTATCTTTTTTTTTTAATTCAAAATCCACATGGTGAAAGAAAGGACAATGTCAAAACAAAACAAATCAAACAAAAAAGAAATAGAAAAGATGTTTTAAAACACAACAATAAAGGAATCAAATCCTACCTGATTCATGCAGTGCTTCTTGCACTCTAACAGTCTTTCTAGATCCTTCCACATCTTCATCTGCTTCATGTTAGGCTCATGATTTTCCTTGACTGTCTTCTGCTTCTCACGTAGACCTCGACTTAAACTTTCCTGTTCTTGGATTTTTCTGCTGTACACCTCCCTGCATGAGATTAGATATTATGAATGACAGGATGAGGGTGTCTACAAGCAATGTTTTATTTTTATCTTGTTCGGTTATGTTATGTTTTCACAATTGACGTCACTGCATATATGGCATTCTCAAGCGTGCTTAGTCATCCGATGCAGTAGTCACTCCAAAGTACTTCTACTAAATTTTCCCATGAGAAGCTGGTTACATTGTCTCCTATCCCAGCCTCGAAGATGGCACAGACATGCTTCACCATGCTTTACTCCCATGTCACGCAATCGTGTTAGTGTCAGGGATTCCTCATTTTCCACTAGCCCAGTCCGTACAGCTTTGATGATATCTGCTCTGTCTATGCTTCTTTCCACATGCCTTTGTGCAATGCTTGCCAGTTGGTCCGCTCGATCATTTCCCTTCAAGCACGCTTGACCTGGTGTGTAGATCCAGGTGAGGGAGTTTAAGTGCGATTTCCGAATGCTTTCTACCCATTCAGAGCGCATACCACCTGTTGCTATCTTCTAAAGCACATTCATGGAGTCTGATAAAATTACTACCTGTGTGGCGGTTTGCCTGGATACCCATGCTAATACTCTAGAGTCAAGAATTGACAACACAGCACTCGAGGGCATTCCCATGCAAGCTCCATCCTCATCTTTAGCATCCAGCGCAGAGTTCCAATACTGATGGTACCGGTCACAATCCGGTTATATGTTTATCTTGTCTTTCCCGGCCAGACCCTCTAATTATACCCAGGTGCCTCATTCTCTCCAGGCCTTAATAATCTTGTTTCTCTGCTGATTCCGTTGCTTGTTCCCAAAGGGCCTTGACCACATCTGCCTTGTCATGTATCAATTCGCCACACAGTGGTGCAGATCCAGTCAATCTGTCTTCCTGTTCCTTACTCACTACGCCGGCCGATTTGTGGAAAGACAGATAGAGGAAAGCATCACAAGAGGACTCCTGACAGCCTACTGTTATGGCAGGGAGGGGTGTCAGCATAAGAACTGATACATGCTGTTGGGAGATCACAGGATGTGGAAAGGCTCAGTCAGCAAGGCACTTGACGATAATGATAATACTTTAGCCCTTTTTCTCCTAGAAAGTTGTTACTTGAAATAATGGGTTCAAATAATAATACTTCTGGAGAGAAACAGAAACACCTGGAGCAATGTGTATTAGTGTAGTAGCCGGAAGTTGCATGAAGCGTTGAGAAACATGTAGAGTGTAAACCGAACCCAAGAAACACGTGGTCAGCTCTTTGCTATTGATTGGGTTAAAACAATACCCTTCTGGTACCAGAATATGCACCACACATTGATTTAAAACTAATTTAACTGTCCTCTAGTTTAAACAAAAACAAAAACAAAAAGAGTTAAAGACATGCCAAATTACCTGAATGTTTTCTTCTTCTCTAATGCGTCAGAGGAGACATAAGCTTTCATTTCAGATGCTACTCTCGACTGTTGCACTTGCAGCACCTAAGAAATATTTACGACCTACATTACACTTCATTACTTTTATAACAGTGAAATGACACTTGAAGATTACTGAGATATGCCTAATGTGGTGATGGGACTTTTGTTAAATGATATCTTCCTCTTCTTCGTGTTCACCATCTGTAAACTCCAGCAAAAAGTTCTGGTTGTTCAGCCACTTTTGGACTGCAGTCCTGTTCCAGCACCTGAGTGTTGAGTGTGCATCTGTTTTACAGATCTGACTCATCTGTATGCAGACTGTTAGTTCCTTGTCTCTCAGACAAAAGCAAACCAATTACAAAGAAAGCTCCCAATTAGCCAACTGTTACGACATACTTTTGGGTAGACAGTGGGTTTATTTTTGTATACCCTACAATGGGGCTCCAGAACCCACACAAGGAAAACAGATGAGTTAAACTAACAGAAATATAGTACAGGTAAGATAATGAGAGAACTCACTTTGGCAAGGACAGCTTTCCGGTGGAAAATGAGATAAAAAGTGAGACATGAAAGAACTAAAGCCAGGCTTTTCAACTTAGTTTACTCAGGGGCCAACATTTTGAAAATGGGGGATCATCATGAGCCAGAGGAACGAGCCCTAGGACAGACTATTAATATAAAACAAGTGACAGTGATCTGCGTGCCACTTGCTAGGCCTCTGGGGTGCCAGAGTTGGCCCACGGGCCACCAGTTGAATAGCCCTGAACTAAGAGAACCGGGAGAAGGACCAAAAAATAGGAAATGAAGGAATTTAAAGTATCATGGGATACTATCAGCAGAAAAACAGCAGATGAGCAGCAATGGAAATCACCTGTGAATACCTTATGCGTCAACAGCAACAGCAAGAGGATACAGCTCATCATAATCATGTGTCATGCTTTTATGCTTCGCCATCTCCCACGATCACCAGAATCATGGATCAGTTCAATGTTTTTGTCTCGCCCCATCATCTGGCTAAGCCATCCAAGTATTTATCTCTTTGCCTTTCTCTTGATCTCTATCCATCAATTTTGCCAGTTGTTATCGAGTTCTCCAGTCAATTCCTTCTCATAATATGTCCTAAAACATACTGACTGTCTATGTCTCACTGACTGACTGACTGACTTTCTACCCCACCAGGACATCACACAAGCGATAAACACCCAATGACACAAAGTGCCACCATGTGGATGAGGATCGCCGTGGAGAGGTCCCAGAAACCGCGTTCAGATAATTGGCCATATTTATGGCCTGCCTATATTGCGGCCCCTGGCAAAAGCCAGGGTGGGGCTTCAAATAACAAAAAATGTCATCCTAAAAGGGAGGAAAGTGAATATATGTTCATATCTCTATGTCTAACCGTTCTAATAAGTTTACAATATAGCTAGACTGACAGAAAGCTATGTAACAGGAAGTGAGACTGAGCTAAATAGTAAAGAACTCCAACTTAACCTCATTCACTAGAACTCAAATTTTAAGAACCATTAAGGGTGACCTACCTTCATCATACAATTCAGGTAATGGTAACGAGACTCTTCCGCCTTGCACTCCTCTCGGTAACCTTTCACCTCTTGCTCCAGTTTACTCATGTTACTGTCGAAGCCAGCCTGCTGCCTCTCATAAGCTTGTTTCTTGCTCTCGTATTCCGGATTTAGTTCCTAGGAACAATGTTCAACAGTTTATTCACAAATGATTTAGATTATTCTTCTTCTGCCCTTTTTAGCCTCCACTGAAGCACAGGCTCCCAACTCAACCAACTCCAGCTAAGTCCTCCTATCTTACGCAACTGCATGTAGCCCACCCCAAGTCCTCTCTAGCTTTTTTCCCCCACCTCCCTCCTTAACACCCTTCCTCATCTGCGTGTGTGTGTGTGTGTGTTTGTGTGAGTGTATGTGTTTGTGTGTGTGCATGCACGTGTGGCGGCAGCATCAGCGGTGATCTGAATTATGCATTCAAGTAGTAAATTAATAATACTTCCAATGGTAACAGTATATTATTTTATCAAAGAATCAGAAGAATTTAAAGTGATAATACTCAAGACTGGACAAGACAAAGTGATAAAGCGTATGATTAGAAGACTTAAAATAATAATACCTTGGAGTTGGAAGGGAAATCAAAAACAGCTGCGCACTGCAAGCATTTAAGTAATAACAGATTTGGACAAGAAACGTTAAAGTAATTAAACCTTAAACTTAAAAATTTAGTAGAAGAATCAAAGTAATAACAATTAGGACAAAGTAATAACAATCAGGATCAAGGAAAAACAACTAAGATAAAGTAATAACAATTAGGACAAAGTAATAACAATTAGGACTGGAAGAGTTAAAGTAATAGTTGCTTAGAATTGGAAGAACTATGGTAATAATTCTTGAGATTGGAAAAGTTAAAGTGATAATAGCTCAGAACTGGAACGGTTAAAATATTAATAGCTTATAATGTAAGAGAAAGTAACAATAGCTTTGCAGTGAAATCAATAAAGTAATGATAGCTTTTTTTTTTTTTTTTTTATTAAATTAAAAAACAACACCCTGAGACAAACAGAGGAATTTAAGTATTTGGGAGCAATTTTTACTTCAGACGGAAAACTGGACAGAGAAATTAGCTCCAGATGTACAAAAGCTAATCAAGTAATGGGTCAACTATCTCCCCTGTTGACACACAAGCAGATACCTCAGAGTACTAAAGTGAATCTTATCAGAACTATTTTTTGGCCAATACTATGCTATCAATGCCAAACGTGGACACTTACATCCTCCAATGAACGTAAAATTGTGACAACAGAGATGAAATGCCTTAGAAGAGCTGCAGGAGTTTCAAGGAAAGACAGAATACAAAATCATGAAATCAGACGAATGCTAGGAATAAAGCCAGTCTTACAGGTCATCAAAGAACAACAAATGAAATGGTTTGGACACCTAACAAGAATGCCCTGGTACTATCTGCCACAGCGAGCCACACTAAAACGTTACAACGGGTATAAAGCGAGTGGAAGACCTCGGAAAAGATGGAGTGATGGCATTAGGAACAGCCTTACAGAAATGAACATCAGTCTTAATAGTGCTCTTGACAGAGCTCATCAACGAACATTACATCTCCCCCCCCCCCCCCCCCCCCCCCCCCCCCCCCCCCCCCCCCCGACACTTCGATGAGGTACAAAGTGGAAGAGAAGAAGAAGAATGATAGCTTTGGATGTAAAAAGTTAAAGTAATAACACTTTGGACTGGAAAGGTTAATATAAAAATAGCATATAACTGCAAGAAATAAAGTTGTAATACATGAAACTAAAAGAATGAAAGTAATAATTGGTTAAAACAGTTAAAATAATAAAATTTCTTGAGATTGGAAAAGTCAAAGTGATAAATAGCTTTTGATTGGAAGATTTAAAGTATTAACAGCTTATGATTGGAATAGTTAAAAAGTAATCATAATTGTTAAAAAAAAAAAAGAGTTAAACTAAAAACTGTTTATAACTAGAAAATTTAACATAATAAAAATTCTTGGGATTGGAAAAGTCAGTTATAAATAGCTTAGGACTGAAATAGTTTCAGGATTAGAAAAGTTCAAATTAATTTTAACTCAGGATTTGGACGAGTTAATAATAGCTTAAAACTGGACGTATCATCTGGAAATGGAGGAGTTCAAGTAACCTGCATCATGGACACACACACACACGCACACGCATACACACACACACACACAAGCCAATCATGCGTCTTATCTTCTCATCTGTCCTGAGGAGAAATGTGCACCTACCTGCAGCTTTTCACGAAGAGGTCTAATTTCCCGAAGTATTGGCGTCAGGTTGTTACGTCTGTCAGCGACCTCTGCATGCAGGCGCCGCACCATCTCGGCCATGTCATCAAGGGTCCGCCCCTTCATCTCGTCCAGCTCGCTTTTCATGCTTGACACTTTCTCCAGTTCTTCTTGAGTTTCTCTGTAGCCAGCCACTCCTTTCTTCCGCTCCAGCACCGACTGATGGAAGCGAATAGGAAACACAAAATGTAAGTTAGCTTTACAAAATTACAATTACCACACATAAACAACAGACATTAAGTAACAAGGCATTATCAGAAACAACAATAAGAAACAAAACACAGGACAAAATAATGGTGGAAATAGAGCTGAAGTAACTACATTATAATATCTTGTCTTGTAAACATATGAAAGACAAATAAGCAAGTAAAATTAAATATGCGTTTCTTAATGTAAACAAAAAAAATTTGATTGTATTTCCCGTCCTTTGTAGGATGAAATTTTTCGTTTTTATGAAGCCCTACTCTGGCTTTTGCCAGGGGCCGCAATATAGCCTGGCCATAAATATGGCCTAAAGGCTGAACGTGGTTTCTGGGACCTCTCCCCGGTGATCCTCACCCACATAGTGGCACATTGTGTCATCGAGTGTTTATGGCTTGTGTGATGTCCTGGTGGGGTAGAAAGTCAGTTAGCCATTTCTTAATCCTCTGGCCCTGTGAAGCACACAATCCGGCATCACCATCAGTCACCCGAAACCTAGATGCCAATAATCTGGCACTGCTCCATTGGCTGGTCACTAACAAGTCTAGGTCATGGCATTAGTTCTGTTTATGCCTGCGCAGTCACTTTTTAGAAGGACCAGGTATGATTCATCATCATCAAGTGCCTTGTCAGCTGGTATAGGCGTTCTCCATAGATCTTTGTCTTTGGTGCTCTGGATCCATTCGATTGGTGGTATTCCTCCATGCCACTGTCTTAGGCATGTTAACTTTTTTTTTTTTTTTTTAAAGTCATGATGTCATTACAATTCCTTTTTAGCCTTTAGAATCTACAGTCAAGGCCTACGATATGAGTCACCTGTGAATTTATTTTAGGCCCAATGAAAAGACATCACTTAATTTTCTACCATATGTTTACTGAATCAGACAGTTACTGGTAGCATCGGAATTGGAACTCTTCACTGGCTGCTGAAGACCGGGGACAGAGCGCTTATGGGAGTGTCCCGAGTGCTATTCTTAATTTAACATTCAACCTGTATGTTTATTGATTAGACCCTTTTTCCCTCTCCACAACAGCACGTATCAGATAGTGTGTTGACACCTTTCATGTCATGACAGAAGGCTGTCAAGAACCATCTCATGTTGTCTTCCTCTGTCTACTTTTCCCCCTACAGATCTTTCCAGTGATCATAGCCTGTTTCAGTTTTCCTTTTTCCCCATAACATGACACACATAAAATGATGACCATCTCTTTCTGATGTTTGTGAAAAGTTATCTTCTAGCTATGCCTCTTTAAAAACATCTGGGTTTCTCTGACTGGCCAAGAAATTCTAAGGATTCTTCTGTAAAATCATATCTCCAAGGCATCCTAAATTTGGTCTGTTTATTAATGGTCAAGGACAGCCATTTGTTTCAACTGCTCTATACTGCATGCAAGAATTCTTTCCCTAATCTCCAATGACATGGATTCATTGTACAAAATGTTCTTCATTTTATAAAAAGCAGTTTTAGCCTGTCCTGATCTGTTGTTTACCTCTGTGAAACATCATCCTTCGGATGTTATCCATGTGCCTAGATACCTACATTTCTGTACTGTACTTATCCTAACATTACATTTTTAACATTTAGACACTATTCTTTTCTTCAATTATCTCTACTTTTGTCTTACAATTATTCAAGTTCAGATCCATTTTATGCTGATGCCGAGTTGTTATAACGTCGGGCTCTCGTGCGAGCTATCCGAGTTCGACCCCCGGTAAGGTGGAGTTTTTTTGTCGGGGACAACATTAAACATCCTAACCTGCACAGTCCATGGCAACAGCACTAGCCATGCTGTCCTAAATCATGAGGCTCCCCCCCCCCCCTCTCCCCCAACTACACTGCCATAAAAAGTGGTAAATACAGATAGCAGTAACCGTTTCTTAGTATACGTACTTCTTAAAGTCCATGCTGCGGGGCATTGGTAGTCAGGTCTATTCGAAACCTTCTGTCTCAAGTACTGTCACTTAACTCTGACACCAATGATTTCCTTTGCCATGATGTCAAACTATCCAGCATCTTTTCTCTTAGTCTCCCTCTGCCTCTCCTCCCCTCTAACTTTCTTACAGTCACAATGTACTCCAGTTTTCTCCTTCTCATCACATGACCAAAGAATGTAGATAGCCTCTTTCTGATGTGGTCAATCAGTTCTCTTTGTGAGTCACTTTCTTTCAAGACGTTTTCATTATTCTTTTTATCTGTCCAGGAAATTCTTATCATTCGTTTACAAAACCACATCTCGGCAGCTTCCACATACGTTTTCACTAATACGTAGTTATGCATGATGCAAAAGCTGTATTTACTGCTTGTGTTTTCTACCAGTGAGGTGCTGGAATCGTTGAGTCTGAGGATTTGAGGTAAGATGGCTAGTACAGTCAACCCAAACTGCACAGGTTATGATTTTTGTGTGTCCCTAGTAGATCGACCCCAGTAGATCGACCCCAGTAAATCAACCCCAGTAGATCAACCCCAGTAGATCGACCCAGGCACTCTAGCCACATGGCCAGCTGCCACGGTTGCCAATAATTTTCTGCTTTCATTACCTGTTTCCAGATAGTTATTGCCAGTTACCCTAAGCCTCTGATTTTACCCTCAAATGAAATTTTTCTTTTCTGGTTTATTTTCATGCTATAATGGAGGGCTGTCAAGATTATTCCTCATTTTTTTTTTAAGTTCGACTGTTTATTTTGTTAATTTATTTTTCTGGTTGTTACAGTTACACTTTGTTCAAAAATCTACTCTTAATATGGCTAAGAAATGTTTTCTTCCTAATGTTTAGGATAATTTGTCATTTTATCTTAGCTACATAACAAACAAACAAATTTCATCATTCTTCTGTAAATATTACCTCATTTCTTTGACTCCTGGTAAAATAAAATGTCGTGTATTCAAATTGCAGTGTGCTGTAGTTTTGCAATGTTTTTGTTATTTCACTGATTTACTCATCTTTTTCTATTTTATATATGAGATGGAAATAACAGGAAGATTTTGCACTATTTTTTTTAATGCATATGCTTCAAAAGTAGAATAAAAGACTGAAAAAACAAGAACACAAAATCCTACCAGAACCATTGCAGAGATGTTTGTAAGCTGTTTTTCAACAGGGGGATGTTAACAATTAGCAGTACTCACCAACTGTCGATCAATATGATCATTTCTCTGCTTCAGGACTTCCTCCGTTCGGGTCAACACACCAACCTCTGCCCGTAGTTCTGCCAGCTCAGAACGCTTTTTCTTGTAAATTGTGCTCTTACTGCGCAGCTTGTTCACGTAACGCTTGAACTGTAATTTAGGTATGTATATTTTCAGATATATGTTTGGGCTGTTATTAATTAATCATTCTCACTGCACATCAAACCATTCAATTCATAAGTGCTCGGATCCTCTTTTCAGTTTACTACCTCAGTGTTTAAATGCTGGCCAGTTCTGTTTAGTTTTTTTTATTCTTCTTTGGCGCCCTGCATATCTCTCCTCTCTCTCTCTCTTCTCTCTCACTTCCCTTCTCTCTACCTCTCATTCTCCCTCACTCACTCAGTACACACCCTTATCGTCTTTTTTTTTTTACTTTTCTTCCATTAGTTTTCTTTACACTGAAATAATCACAACAACATTACAGAACACAACTTAACCAAAGATGACTACACAGCACAACCTAACAAACCCAAATTATTAAATACAACAATACCAGACACTGAGGAGTTTTTTTTTAAATAGTGTCATTCATTCATTGGCACCTTTCCGTCTTTCCAGACGATAGTGTTATATTGCGCTATGAGGAGACATGAGACTCACAGTCCATGGCGATGGCGAGTGTCACTAACAAGACCCGCCCGTGTCAAGAAAAGTCTTCCCCGATTGTTTCCGAGACCGATTAAGGCCAGGGATGAAGTTCCTCCTCTCCATAGCACAAAGCCTGGGCAGTATTGTAGAAACCATATGTTGCCCATGCATAATGATCCCTCCCTCGACCTGCCTTGTTTACTCCAAAGGAAAGGTAAAAGCAGTACGTTTGGAACAAGGCAGGTTGCAGAAGCTGCCGGATCAGAAGAGCAGTGCTCTATCTGTCCACTTGTCAGAGCTTCCCTCCTAGACCAGTTGCCAGCAAAGGCGAAGGGCCTGGTCTGCCCTGCCATAACACAAAGTTTTCAGGTTGCATTTTCTCTTCCTAGGATAAGGCTAGTATCCTCCCCAATGTGCACCTCCGCCTGAAGCCGCTGGCACAATATGGGATGTTGGGTTAGTATATGCCACCCAACATTTGGCGTAACAGAAGACAGGTGGTACCGGCTACTGTTATACGGTAGCTCAGCCTTATCTGACCAAGACCTGACCTTAATTGAAATGTCTAATTCTTACAGTAAAAGGATTGAAATGAGTATATTAGTAAACCAAGTCTTACATCTTCTCCTTTGAGAACTTCTGTGCCCTCTGCTGCATTAACTACTTCTCTTTTCTGCTCTAGCTCATGTAGAATATGGTTGTACTCATCTCTTGCAGCCCTTAAAGTCTCTGCCGCAGCCTCCTTCTTGTGGGAAATTATGCCTGCCTTGAAAGGAAAATGTTAAAAATGATCTCGAGAGAACCGTGCAGTAGGGGGGGGGGGGTGACCAGGGGATCTGGCTGACACTAAAGATTCAGAGGAAAGACAAGATGGACATATAATCAAACTGGTACCCCTGGCACTGAAACTCTCTGCTAGTTGCTGAAGATTAGGGGATAGTGCTTAGTGGAATGTCCTAAGTGCTGTCATACCACCTCTTAACTCTTTCAGGCCCATGAATTTTGACAGACTTGGCCCACATTAATTTCCCCTTATATAAATGGCAGAGATGGTGGTGTACAAGAAAGGCAATAGATAATGTAATATGCTTCTAATCCCTATAAAAGTGTATATTTTTTTAAAGAGAAACAAATGTACATTTTGAATCTGATAATAAGTGTATGTTTAACTTTTTTTTTTTTTTTTTAGTTAGTAGGAAAGAAGAATTCAGCAGGTGTTTATTTAACAACAGATCTTAAGTTATTACAATTCGCTATGCACCCAGACCTACCGTAATTACAGCTCCCGATATGCTCAGACCTACAGTAATTCCTACAGTAATTACAGTTTCCTAAGCTTACATACGTACAGTAATTAAAGCTCCCTATACACATAGACCTAGTGACGTCTGTGGCTTAGGTGTTACATGTCAGACTCATAACTCCAACGTACTGCGATCGAAACCCACTGCTGGCTGCTTGGATTTTTATCGTAGCATGAGGCGTCGCAGGTCGTGCCAGCCTAAAATGGGTACCAGGATGTATGTCCTAGGGAAGTAATGCGGCCTGCGTAATGCTGACCACATTTCCCACCTAGTGCCAATTAGTCTATATAAATATGGATGATCTTCCCATATGCCCGTTCGCCTAAAGGTGTGAGAAGGGATCTTTACTATACTCACTCAGACCTGCAGTAATTACAGCTCCTAATGAACTTAGACGTTAAGTAAGTACAGCTCCAAATGCAACTAGACCCACAGTAATTAAAGCTCTCAGTGCATTCATATCTGTAGTTATGACAGCTTCCTAAGCGCTTAAGACATACAGTAATTTCAGCTCCGTACACACTTAGACCTACAGTAATTACAGCTCCCTACACACTTAGACATACAGTAATTAGAGCTCCATATGCATTGAGACCTACATTAATTACAGCTCCAACTACTGGCTGATCTAAAATAATTCAACATCTCACTGATCATCCATTGCAGGACTTTTTGTTTAGAATGTAAAAGTAAACAGTAAGTTCAATGGGGCAATGGAAACTTACTTGTTGCCTGAACAATGAGAGCTTGTCATCCGTAGGTTCCCCGCTCCTCATCCGCTTCTCAATCAGCTGGTTTATCTCTGCGTTCAGCAGATTAATCTGAAGTGAAGAACACACGCCATATTAGTTCTTTCCCCTACGTGGGGTTTTCCCGGTCCTGACCCGCATGGGACTGGAGGCTACACCTGGTTGGTGTAACCGTTATGGGTGCCCTAATTTTTTTTGGGGGGGTGGGGGGAAGGTGGTCGCTGTGGTGTAGCAGCTAAATGCTTGCCTGAGGATTGGAACGTCATGGGTTTGGGTCCAGATGGGACTAGACTTTTTTTTTTTTTTAATTACCTCTGCTTCCAGGTCAATCCAGCCTTTAGTGGATACCATGTGCAGTCCTGGGAAGTAAAGGCGACCTGCGTGATGTGGACCATATCACTCACCAAGCGCCGATTGGTCTATAAAGAAAAGGGCTAGTCCTAAATTCATTTTTTAATTTTGTCAATACATCTTCTTTTTAGGTGCCCTCTGGTTCTCAAATTATTTCTTCTTAAAGTAGTAGCTTTGATGGTAAATAATGCTGCTACATTCTAGCGAGGTGAAGACCATCTGAACTTGTGCTGCTCAATAAATGTTACCCATTCTGTTTCTCAACCATTCTCAACTGGTTGTCTGGCTGGATGGCTTATTGGTTGGCTGATCTGCTGAAGGGTTTGCTAGTTTAATGAATGACTGGTTGATTGGTGTTTTATTTATTGGTTGGTGGATTAGTTTGCTGGCTAACTGGTTGACTGGATGGTTTGCAAGTTGAATGAATGATTGGTTTGTTATTTATTGGTTGGTGGATTAGTTTGCTGGCTAACTGGTTGACTGGATGGTTTGCAAGTTAAATAAATGACTGGTTGATTGGTGTTTTATTTATTGGTTGGTGGATTAGTTTGCTGGCTAACAAGTTGACTGGATGGTTTGCTAGTTGAATGAATGACTGGTTGATTGGTTTGTTATTTATTGGTTGGTGGATTAGTTGGCTGGCTAACTGGTGGACTGGATGGTTTGCAAGTTAAATGAATGACTGGTTGATTGGTGTTTTATTTATTGGTTGGTGGATTAGTTGGCTGGCTAACTGGTTGACTGGATGGTTTGCAAGTTAAATGAATGACTGGTTGATTGGTGTTTTATTTATTGGTTGGTGGATTAGTTTGTTGGCTAACAAGTTGACTCGATGGTTTGCTAGTTGAGTGAACGACTGGTTATTTGGTTTGTTATTTATTGGTTGGTGAATTAGTTTGTTAGCTAACTGGATGGTTTGCTAGTTGAATGAATGACTGGTTGATTGGTTTGTTATTTATTGGTTGGTAGACTAGTTTGTTGGCTAACTGGTTGACTGGATGGTTTGCTTTTTGACTAGTTGATTTACTGATTAATCAGTTGATTTTTTGGTTGACTGGTTGGTTTGTTGGCTGAGTGATTGGTTTGTTGATACTCTGAACAATCTTCGGGAAAAAGGGGGGGGGGGGAGAGAACCCTCACGCTGATTTTAACACACATAAACATTTTTAAAAAACTTAAGAAAAAAGTATGAGATACCTGAGCATTAAGTTCTTCCAGATCTGAATGTCCCATCGCAGGAACCGAGACAACTTTCTGCAGGTTCTGAATCAACTTCTTCTTGTTTCCAATGTCTCTAGGAAGCTGCTCCTTCACAATGTAGCCATTGGTTCGTGTTTCTTCCTCCAACTTATGAATCATGGCTGAATACCAAAATAAAGAAACTCATTAATACATATTTCTCTATGAACTAAGACGGAAGAAAATCAAGTCACCAGTGCTAAATGATACACATCATGAATGATTATATTTGTCCACTGGGGTGCTGCATGGTCTCGAGGCATGGAGTCCGCCTCGAGTGCTAGAGGTGCCGGGTTCAAATCCCCAGTAAGGGCTGGGATTTTTTTCATGTGGACTTTGACTTCAAGTAATCCCTACTGGTCTCTGGGTAGTGAGATGGGACGGTGGTGTGCATTGCTGCGCATGTAAAAAAAATCCCTTGGCAGTTGGAAATTGAAAAGAGTAGCTTAACGATGGTGCCCTTGAAAATTTGAAGCTAAAAAACTACCCAAAGTATTTCAGGATTCTCGCTGGTGCTAAAGAGCTTGTGCACTGGCTGAGCTTCTTCAGGACTCAGACTTGAGTTAGAAGAAGAACACTTATGGGTTACTACCCGAGTGCCATGATGTTGATCAGTGGTTCAAACCTCATTTGTCCACTAGACAGGGATGATGTCATTAATGCCGTGCAAGATGCATTATTGTGAAGAAGGTCACGACAACAGCAGGACTCTGTATCCCCATCCTTTTTAGTTGATATATGAGATCAATCTTGAGCAGCCAGACATAAACATTTTACTAAGGGCACAAAACATCTGTTACAATCAACATCAACACTGAACAAGTGTGATCAGTTGGGTTAGGTTTAAGTTAGTTTCATAATTCCAACACACCGTGATCATAACTCACTGCTGGCTGCGTGGATTTTGATCGTGGTATGGGGTGTCGCTGGATGACCCTAGCCTTAAAAAATGGATACCAGGATGTATGTCCGTAGGAAGTAAAGACGAGGGCATAATGCTGACCACATTACCCACCGAGTGCCAATTGGTCTTTAAAATACGGGTGCTCTTTCCATATGCCCAATGTGCCTAGGGCATAAAAACAGATCTTGACTTTACTTACTCACTGTTATCAGGTTTTCTCAGAGTGTTTTCCATCCATTTTACACACCTGGCTTACAAGTGTTCAAACTGCTGCCTCTCAAACAGATGCAGTCCAACTTCAAGAGAAACACTGATCCGATCTACACTGGCTAGGCTCCCGGCAGGGAATCTACTTCTAGGATTACAGTGGAGATTGTCTTGACCTGTGTCAGCAATGGTCCTGGGGCACAACCACCTGCAGTTGAGCCTTCTGTATCCTTCTTTTCTATCCAAGGGTATTACTGTGTGTTGGAGATTATTCTCTACAACACCCTGACTCTGACAGATCCCAGCATCTTCCAGGTGGTGGTGTGAATTGTAGATTCAGAAAATGGCGTGATGCCAGTTGTCGCAATATTGGTGGTACCATTATGTGATTAAAATTGATCGGGTGTGCAACTGCTGATCTGTTGGTGACTTTTGCTAGTCACTAGTGTTACCATCCATGATGAACTGCATTTCTAATGTCAGACTGTTTGTGTTAGCACTTCGGATGGCTACCGTATGTTTTTATTGCGTGTGTATGCTAGTGCATATGCTGAGACAGCAGTCTGTCACTCTTTCCACAAGGGGCTGTGATAAACATTCTGTGTGTTTTTCGTTTGGACAGGAGCGGAGCAACTATGGGGGTGGCCTGTTTGCTATGAAGCTGAAACTAAGATTACCAGATTACCAGAACTTCCAGGCAGGGCTAAGAGAACATGAACACTAAATCATTGATTTAAGTGTTGAAACTCTCAATATTTTTAGAGGATACTCAACTAACTAGCCATAAAAGGATATCAAGCCAAACAAACTGTACAACCAGTGAGCTTCATATTATCACAAACAAGTGAAAGTTGTGGCTAGACTGCATTCATCAGCACATTACAGGAATAACAATACCACAAATATGAACAAGAACACACAAAATGACTTAACTGAAGTATCTCTGACAGAAATCACATATCTGTCTGGCCAGTTAAATATCTGATTGGTGTGTGACCATAAAAACAGACACTAACCAGAAAAAGCTGTGTACCACAAGGGCCATAACTAGAAACAAATATTAGATAAAACTGTGTTGGATGTTAAGTCTCCAAGCGAGTCAAACAAAATTTGAACAATGTGTTTTAGCATTTTTCTACAGAACCACATCTATGACGCCTCTAACTAATTTCATACTAATCTGCTGACTGTTCAGGATTCACATCTATACATCATAATTGGCTTTTTAAAAGTTAAAGAACTATTTTTTATTTTCTCTCAACTTCATATACAAATATTATTAAAGACCAGCAAGCTAATACATTGTCGTCCCCTTGTGGGATGCAACTTTTCATTATTTTGAAGCCCCACCCTGGTTGTTGCCAGGGGTCCTAACATAATCTAATGGTTGAACAGAGTTTCTGGGACCTCTCCACGTGTGATCCTCATCCACATGGTGGCACTTTATGTCACCGGGTGTTTATCGCTCTGTGTGATGTCCTAGTGGGGTAAAACTTACTTACATTAAAGTAAAAGTAAAAAGTAAAGATCCCTTTACACGCCCTTAGGCGCATCGGGCATATGGAAAGAGCACCCATATTTTTACAGACCAATTAGCACTCGGTGGGTAATGTGGTCAGCATTACACCGGCCGTCTTTACTTTCTCAGGACAGCCCATCCTGGTACCCATTTGAGGCTGGGTCGACCTGCGGCGTCCCATACCACGATAAAAATCCAGGCAGCCCACGCAGGTTTCGATCGCGGTACGTTGGATTATGAGTCAGACTCGCAACGCCTTAGCCACGGACGCTGCACTTACATGAACTGACAGCAAACTTACATTCCGCTGTAGCTCCAATGCTTGTTTGTCTCATGTCTCGGAGCTGGACCTCCAATCTCTTGATTCTCTGATCCAAATGGGCTATCTAAAGATGACAATAAAGCAGAGTAGGTAATCTAACATAACGCCACCATTTGAAAATGTAAACATTCCACCATCTCACAGGAAACCACTCCATCACTTCAAAATGCATACACTCCTATCATCTGCTTTTTCTTCTGTGTTCTGCCTTAAAAGGGTAGCTGGTACATTGTGGTGTGGTTTACAGTTAAGCTACGATATATGTACCTCACTCCTCAACACATTCAATTCCTGAAAACCCTTAGTCATCTTTTACAATATTCTTGTTAAGGACTGAGAGCTCAAATCTCCCTACTGCATGCAGAGGACATGTCTGCAGCAGTATTATGTGATGCCTGGCCACATGGTCAAAGTTCTGAGTTCCTGATCAATGTATGGATTCTCTGTCCTTGCTATTGTACTGTCTATCTGATCCCAGAGAGCCTTTACCATGTCCATCATAAAGTAGCTCAATACTTCAAGGAGCCGCAGCAGCTAATCTATCAGCTAGCTCGTTACCTTGTACACCTGAATACTCAATACTTCAAGGAGCTGCAGCAGCTAATCTATCAGCTAGCTCCTTACCTTGTACACCTGAATACTCAATACTTCAAGGAGCCGCAGCAGCTAATCTATCAGCTAGCTCGTTACCTTGTACACCTGAATACTCAATACTTCAAGGAGCTGCATGAGCTAATCTATCAGCTAGCTCGTTACCTTGTACACCTGAATACTCAATACTTCAAGGAGCTGCAGCAGCTAATCTATCAGAAAGCTCCTTACCTTGTACACCTCAATACTCAATACTTTAAGGACTGCAGCAGTTAATCTATCAGCTAGCTCCTTACTTTGTACACCTGAATACTCAATACTTCAAGGAGCTGCAGCAGCTAATCTATCAGCTAGCTCCTTACCTTGTACACCTGAATACTCAATACTTCAAGGAGCCGCAGCAGCTAATCTATCAGCTAGCTCCTTACCTTGTACACCTGAATACTCAATACTTAAAGGAGCTGCAGCAGTTAATCTATCAGCTAGCTCGTTACCTTGTACACCTGAATACTCAATACTTCAAGGAGCTGCAGCAGCTAATCTATCAGCTAGCTCCTTACCTTGTACACCTGAATACTCAATACTTCAAGGAGCTGCATGAGCTAATCTATCAGCTAGCTCCTTACCTTGTACACCTGAATACTCAATACTTCAAGGAGCTGCATGAGCTAATCTATCAGCTAGCTGGTTACCTTGTACACCTGAATACTCAATACTTCAAGGAGCTGCAGCAGCTAATCTATCAGCTAGCTCCTTACCTTGTACACCTGAATACTCAATACTTCAAGGAGCTGCAGCAGCTAATCTATCAGCTAACTCATTACCTTGTACACCTGAATGCTCAATACTTCAAGGAGCTGCATGAGCTAATCTATCAGCTAGCTCCTTACCTTGTACACCTCAATACTCAATACTTCAAGGAGCTGCAGCAGCTAATCTATCAGCTAGCTCCTTACCTTGTACACCTGAATACTCAATACTTCAAGGAGCTGCATGAGCTAATCTATCAGCTAGCTCCTTACCTTGTACACCTGAATACTCAATACTTCAAGGAGCTGCAGTAGCTAATCTATCAGCTAGCTCATTACCTTGTACACCTCAATACTCAATACTTCAAGGAGCTGCAGCAGCTAATCTATCAGCTAGCTCGTTACCTTGTACACCTGAATGCTCAATACTTCAAGGAGCTGCAGCAGCTAATCTATCAGCTAGCTCCTTACCTTGTACACCTGAATACTCAATACTTCAAGGAGCCGCAGCAGCTAATCTATCAGCTAGCTCCTTACCTTGTACACCTGAATGCTCAATACTTCAAGGAGCTGCAGCAGCTAATCTATCAGCTAGCTCATTACCTTGTACACCTGAATACTCAATACTTCAAGGAGCTGCAGCAGCTAATCTATCAGCTAGCTCCTTACCTTGTACACCTGAATACCCCGGACAGAAAATCTATGACATTCTCCTGATCTTATCAAGTGATGCCAGCCACACTGCTCACAAGAGGCCAATTTAAATTTTCTAAAGCATGCACTCTGAGTCTTAAAATTACAGCATGTCAGTCTGCGTTCTCAAGCAATTGGGAAGCTTCTATTACCACCTCCATCTCCATTCTTATACTGGATTTAGTGACGTTGTACACAAGTTGAAGATTATGCAAAATTCGGAATGACAGAATCAAGAACAGCCTTCAAAAATAAAGATCAAATTATACAACACATTAGAAGACCCCTACAATCCCCCACCCCCTTCCACGTAAATGGAGGAGGAGAAGCAGAAGAAGAATGTAAAACCATGACAAATTTGTAACTAAATATAAATGTTGCAAATGAAAAGAGAGCTGCTGAAATAAATAAAAAGGAGAAAATTAAAATATTTTGGCCACATTAAAAAACATACTCTTTTAAATACCACACTGGAGGGAAAAGTCGATGGCAAGAGAATAAAAAGCAGACAATGATACAAGTGGGATTGTAACATCAAGAGATAGACAAAGAGCAGTCTGAAAGAGTGTATAAACTCTGACAAACAGGACAAGAGACACAGCATGCTGGAGATTCATTGCAGCCAACCTTCATGGAGGAGGTGGCACCTGATTGATTGTAATGATACAGGTACTCACAGCTGTCAACTGATCTTGTTTCTGAGCTGCAAGCTTCTTTTCTCTGTCTCTTTCCACTCTCAGGTTCTTTGCAACCATCATCATCTTTTGAGAATTTGGGTGCGACTCGACCTACAAATGATAATAAAAGCTAGTACAGAAACTTTACTTATCATCATCGTTTTTGGTTGTGTCATTATATGTTATAGGAGTCGCCAAGGCGTTGGTGGCTAGACGCTCGACTGCAGATCAGAAGGTTGTGGGTTTCTGTCCTGGTGGAGCTGGAATTTTGTTTTTAAATGGCCTTGACTTCCAGGTTGACCCAGCCTTGAGGTGGTACCAGGTGCAGTCCTGGGAAGTAAAGGCAACCGGCGTGATGCTGACCACATCACCCACCAAGCCGATTGGTCTATTAAAAATATAGGTCTAGCCCTATATTCCCCAAAAGCCTAAAGGCGTGGAAAAGGGACCTTTTTTATTACGTCATACAGGACTCGCAGTCTATACTCTATTCCCTTCTGTTACCGGAATGGCATCCTTTCCTACTGGCTGCTGTAGGAGAAAAAAAATCTGTTACGGGGGAGGCAGTTGGTCTCATGCCTAATCTTCCTGCTTTGTCACACAAATTGACAACTAAAGAAAATTATGTAAATGAAAACTAGTAGAAACAAATTTCACATTAGACAAAAATCAATTTTGAGGTTCTACAAAATTATAAAGAGCATGGTTCTGCAGTGGAATGCTGAAAATAACCTGAATAATCAAAATAGGTCATCTAAAAATTTTGAAAGATGCTGAAACAAAGACTGATTATCAGACAGCAGAAATAGACAGTTGCCATTTTTTTACAGCATAATTAGCACAGAGCTAGTTGGACAGGCTGTAAGTGATGGACAGCAGTGAGATGTAGAAGTTTAAAATATGTTTAAAGGCAAGAGGAATTACTTCACTACATCACACTATCCAATAAAGTTCACTTTCTCTTCACAGATTGGAAGGTCACCTTTCAGAGTGTTGCACACAGCATAAACACTCTAGCTCCAGCAACAACCCACAGAATCCCAGAAATACTTGCAAACCAAAGGACTCATTCTGAAATTGAACCCACAACTTTCAGAGATTGAGGCAAATGGCTTAACCTCTTCATCAAGGAGAAATGACAAGCCACCAATGGCCACTTTTTTTATATTCATTGTTACTAACAAACAACTCCACCTTTTGGTTAAGATCAAAACGCTGGATCAGTCACAACCACTGCCAGAACCCTATTCATTAAATCATTATCCAGTTGTGCCAATATATGTCACAAACAGCTCGCAGTCTATTTCTCAACTGGCTCGCACACGCACAGTCTATTTCTCTAATGCTTGGCAATCTTTTTTTTTGAGGCCTAAAAAATCTGGTTTTTTAAAAATATATCGGGTAAATTTTTCATTTCGTAACTTTAATTTTGGCATTTTTAACAATCTGGGTTTTTTATTTTGTGTTTCTGTTCTTTGTCTATGTATTGCTTGGGTTTTTGTTAAAAAAAGCTGGGTTTTTCCAAAAAAAATCCCTCTGAGTCCCCAGGAGATGAGCATCAGAGGCCCAAAGTGTGATAATGCAATCTGGAAATGTTACAAGTGTAACAAATGAAAACAGACCGTACGAATTCAACTGCCGTGCAACAGACACATATCATTCATCAAAGTGACCAGGATTGTTGAGGAATAATAACAGAATACTGCTACAAAGATCAATTGTGTTAGTTAATTATTAGTAATTAAACAGATGGTATCTTTAGAGAGATTAACAAGCAGAAATTATTATTTCTCCACTTACCACCATGGCACTCAAAGAAACTCGATAAAATATTTCCAAACTGAATCATAAATGAACACAAACCTCTTAGTAATACATGAAAAAAAAAATATAAACACAATCTGTCCCTCAGATCTCGTTCCATAGAAGCTTTTAGAACATCATAAAGGAGTACCATTTGTGATCAAGAAAAATAGCCTCCCAAAAAAAATAGAATTTTTTACACTAAATGAACATTATATAACACTCAATTTGCCTATAATTGCACAGGCCTATGTTCCCAAATAATAAGAGAATCACACTAGACCTAACTGACACCGAAGAATATTGCTTTTTTCACTAATATTTATTTTCTTTGTACCAGCTGACTTTGTTACCGTTGTAGGCTTTGCGTGAGGTTAGTTAGTTAGTTAGTTAGTTAGTTGGGTTATCCTCATTGCACTCCGGACATGTCCATAGGTGCTCAGATCCTCCCCTCAGTATGAACCCCGTGAGGTATACATCAGAGATATCCCTTATCACAGTCAGACTCTTTTCAATGATTGAAACAAGTCTACTTCATAATAACTTTATTTGTCTAACTTTGTATAAATCTGATAAATATGTGTTTTATTTAAAGATGAAGCTTCTAAAGTCATAAACTGCGTCGGCATGTATGAAGAAATCTGCTCAGAGGCCGTATTGTTTTCACACAGACAGTAACTTGGTAAAGCTCAAAAACATGCTAAATGTTATGCTTTTAACCATGTTTTTGAATATTCCCAATGGTCAATAAAAGCGACTTCAAACATGAAGAACAGGAAATACCATTCAAAACAACCGGTTTGCGTTGTTATACTGGATAGCGGTAAATTAAAAACCAGTGCTTGCCACGCGCCGATTGGCGCCCTGAATAGTAGCTGATTACGGGGACCCAAAGAGTTCAATCTTCAGGAGGTCGGTAAGCTGAGCCACTCTTAAGGAGACCAGATTGGCATTAAAAAATTCTATCTGCAAAACACGGGTTACATACTTTCTGATAAACATGCAAACAACAAACAGTACAACCAATCACCCAAAAGTTCAACATAAAAGAACTTTAAACCTCACCTTTCTCCTTAATCTTTCAATTCTTTTAATGAGCTGCTCTTTTTCTTCCTCCATATTTGTGATGTCCTTCCTTATCTCTCCTGTGTTAAATCCTGAGTTTTTCAACTGCTCTGACTGCTTGTGCAGCTCCTTAAACTGATCCATTAGTTCCTCATACTGTGCAAAATAGAACATATGATTTTAAGTGAGTACAATATAAACAGGCAGCCGCTGTGGCAAAGCGGCTAGATGCTCGCGTACGGATCGGAAGGTCGTGGGTTCGCTCCCTGGCAGAGCCGCACTTTTTTCAAAAATGACCTTGACTCCCAGGTTGATCTAGCCTTCAGTGGGTACCGGGTGAGGTCCCAGGGAATAAAGGCGGCCGGCGTGATGCTGACCACATCACCCATCTTGTGCTGATTGGTCTATGAAAATAAAGGTCTAGCCCTATATGCACTATAGGCCTAAAGGCGTGGACAAGGGACCTTTACTTTACAAAATAAACAATTCAAGTATCTTTTATAAGGAATTTTTGTAGTAATAGCCTGGTGTGTTTTTTTTTTCTGTGCTGGTTTGATTTCTGGACAATGAGTGATAAAACAGTGAAGAAACTGGAGGCAGAGATGTGCTACTGGAGAAAAAAGCTGAAAATACTGTGAGCATAAAATAAAACTTGTCGCCATGTGTGTTGTGGGACCCCACTTGGGGTGGGGGGTTGATAGACTCACTGTCACCTAACAGTATGTCATAAAAGGCAACTAATATGGAGTGCTTTCTTTGAAGCTGGAGTGCACATGTTTGAGAGGCAAGGAACAAACAGTCTGCATACAAATAAGCCAAATCAGTAAAACAGATGTGGATGAAAAACTCAGGTCTGGAAAAAAGACTGACGTCCTCAAATGGATGAACAATCAGAACTTTCTGTTTGAAATTACAAGCAGGTGAAAGCAAAGAAGGAGGAGGTGGAGGAGGAGGAAAAGAAGAAGAAAAGAAAACTTATGCTGAGACACTGAAAGTTTCAGATCTTACAAGATCAAAACCACAAGTAAAAGGTATTAGACGTATGAAGAGAATTAGGCGTAACAAGAGAAGTCAACATTTTATATAATCAAACTGGCTACTACTGGAACTCTGCTCTGGCTGCTGAAAATAGGGATAGAGCACTAATGGGATTGTCAGAGCGCTGTGATGTTGTTTTCATAACTCAGCTCAACTTGAGTTAACCTTCTATGTGCATAAACTAGGCAACAAAGGCAAAGGTGATTCTTTCTCTTCTGCTTCTTCTTTGTGCTCATCAGCTGTAAACTCTGGCAGAAAGTTTTGGTTGTTCGTCCACCTTTGAACTTTAGTCTTGCTCCAAAACCTGAGTACTGATGCACATCTGTTTTACTGATGTGACTTATATGTATGCAGACTGCTAGGTTCCTTGCCTCTAAGGCAGATGTACTCTGACTCCAAAGGAAGCTCCCCAGTTAGTTGACTCTTATGACATGCGTGTTGGGGAGGCAGTGGGTCTATTCTTGTCTTCTCCGTAAAGGAGCCCAAAATGTATACGGGGAGCAAGGTGATTTCTAAACAGATGTTTGTGGAATACCCAAACAGTTGAGCAAAAACGGTGTAAGAAGTGTCAAGTTATTCAAAACATAACACAGATTTGTGCATAACGATCAGGCCCTTTCTTCTCTGTCAGTACCACAACAATACTCAGTACCGGTACCTTTTTTTTAAGGCATTTTTTCATCTATACTGTTATAGACATACTATAGTGGGTAGTGGCACCCTTTATAGCCACTTTGTGGTAAGTACTGACACCTATTTTTAGAAGAAAAAAAGTCATAATCAAGATTATCTTTACGTGCTCCAAACCAAACGCCTAATGCAACTCATTTTTTTTTTTAGAAAAAAAGGAAACAAATAAGAAAGAAAGACTTATTATTTACTGTTTTGTATTCTTCTACTTAAAGACACTACTGTATAAAGATGTGTGCAAGCCGGACAGGAATGATACAGGTACTGAGGTGGGACTCTTGGGAACAAAATCTCCTGGACCGTGTTGTGTGGAGAGGGCATATCAGAAAGGGAATGAGAGTGAAGGAAGAAATGACTGCAGAAAAGAAGAGAGCTGAGCGTCTGAGAAAAATCGGATTAAACAGACATGTTGACAACAATAGTCCTGAAATCCCATGCTATCATTGTGGAAGACTTACAGGCGGGTCTTGCTAGTCACACTCGCCATCACTATGGGCTGTGAGTCTCATGCCTCCTCAAATCGCAATATAACACTATCGTCTGGAAAGATGAAAAGGTGCCAACCACCACTTAAATGTAAATCTTTGACACCCAGTTAAGTTTTTTTTCTTAGCTTTGCCATTTATTTTTCCACAGATGAAGACTTTAGTAGTAAAGAGTCGAATGCGAAATAGAGAGACTGAGGACACAAGGAAACCCAAGAGAAACCCAAAGGTGAACACTGATGAGAGAAGCCAAAGGTGCTGGACTGGATTCTATCCATGATACTAAAGTGATTGCACAGGAGAGATTGGAAGGGAGAGACACGGTGTCAACCCTAGCGGACACATAATAGTATTTTTTTTAAAGTTAGTTGTGTATCTGCAACCAAACCCCCAGCATTTATTGGCTGTTGTGGTTCTTCTAGGTAAGTGTACGTCAAGTAGTTTGCCATTGCTTTCTGGATGGTCAGCTTCTCGATACCACTTTAAAACAAGCGGATGGCCCGCAGCTGGGATCGAACCCGGCACACTGGCATTACGAAGCGTGTTTGCAAAGTCTAAGCCACAGACGCCGATACTGGTATAAAACAGGACAAAAAATGAATGTAAATATTTAATTCTGTAAATGTCCTCTGTATTTCAACTTATAACATCTACAACAAAAACCATATCAACTGAACAAGTTCGTTGTCAGGAGATACCGTTGGTGTTAGGTCAAAGTCACCTAAATTCTAATCCCTTCCTTGTTTTGAGAAAATTGCTTTTCTCTCTGAGAAGCGGCTGGCCGAACGGTTAGAATGCTAGGCTCTCATGCATGAGACCCGGTTTCGAATCCTCGATAAGGCTGGGGGGGGGTTCTGTCGGGGACAGAATAAAAATCCACACCTGCACAGTGGTGGCGACAGCACTAGCCAAATGGCCATAAATCCTCAGGCTCAAAAATCCCCCCCCCCCCCCCCCCCGACTACACAGCAGAAAGGGTATATAAAGGCAGTAATTGGCAGTTGGCTTTTCTCTCTGAAAGTGGCAAAGAAAAAAATGTGTAGTTGCGTAAAAAGTAACACTTCCTTTTGATCTATTTGAAGCAGGAATTCTCTGTGTGCCTTTGATATACTGTAAAGTAGCACACCAAAACAGCCTTGTAAATAAATTGCACTTTGGTGAGTTTAGCTTAGTGCTGACTAATGAGCTCTTCGGTTCAGTAAGTTTATGAATGAATTCTCACCTGCAGATAGATACCATTGACCTCTTCTTCTTGCATAATCTCTGGTGGGACATCAATCTTGACCAGAAACTTGGCCAAATAAGCTCTCTTCTGCAGTTCTGGCACCTTCAGCAGCAGCCATTCTAAGATAGGAAAGATAACTGGCTTCTCCCCCTGCACAATGCCGGCGCGGAATTCACTCCTGTATAGATAACAATTCTTATGATGTAAATACAGGGCTGTTTATTAACGCATTATGACTGCTCCATAACTTATAAACATAAATTTTAAGACAATCAATGCAAATGTAACGGTATCCATATTACAAAAAAAAAGAAACTTTCTCAAAGCCCCTGAGTGGATAATTAAGCTGCCCGGGTGCTTCCGTTTCAGATTTTTAAATATTTCAGGCTTTGCTGCAGTAACAAGCTATTATCCCTTTAATGAAGAAAATTCAGTAAAATATTCATTCATTACTTTTCTTAAATTCCCTACCTTTTTTTCTGGAGGGGGGGGGGGGGGGGGCATGTAAATTCATTATACTCACTATCTGCCACCCGTAGAAAGTTGCGGGTGGATATTTTGTCATACCTACTAAGATGTCAATTAACCTCTAGCACTGTAACCTGAGGGCTTGAGACCTAAAGACTTAAAGAACCATTTTCTGGATGCTTATCCAACATCAACAAATCCTAGAGACTCAGTTCAACCATATCTTCTTAAAGTCCATGCCATGTGCCTTGGTAGTCATGTTTATCCAAAACCTTGAGTCTCGTGCACTTTTAGTCAGTTCTGGCACAGACGATCTTTGCATCTTCTCCCCTCCAACTTTCCTACCGTCACGATGTACGCCAGTTTTCTCCTTCTGATGATATGACCAAAGAAGGTAGACTGATTCCTTCTGAAGTGCAGCAATCAGTTTCTTTCAAGACATCTTCTTAATCTTTTCATGTGACCAGGGTATTTTCATCATTCATTTATAAAACCATATCTCCAAATAAATTTTCTATAATTGACCAACTTCCAGGATTCACCTTTATATATTAGGATATGATTTTTATCATCATGTAGCAGGAACTTTGCAGAACGTCGCTCTCATCAAGGTCTGTCTGAAAAAAATTCAGTCTCTCACCAGCTCTCCTGCATCAAGTACTTTCATTCTCGAGGAGTCACCTATATCCTATGACCATTTTCGTGTTGGTTGGCCCCTGCCTCTCCTTCCTGGTACCATGCCTTCTGCTATAATTTTTTCCAATCCGTCATGGCGCTTGATATGACCAAAATATTTCAGCTTCCTAGACAGGATGTTGTTTATTAGCTGGATATTCTGACACTAAATAACCATTTGTTGGCAGCTTTTTCTTTAACGTTATTTGATATTTTGATTTATTTATTTATTTGATGTTCGGCTCCAAGATTTTGTTAACAATACTTGGAGTTTTTCTTTATGCCTAGTCCTTTTAATCATATATTTTAAAGCTGAAAAAAGAGGGTAGGGGGGGAGTGTGAATCTGTCCGTTTTGGGAGATTCTACTGTAGCTGCATTGGGAGATTCTACCTGTAGCTGCACTGGGAGATTCTACCTGTATCTGTACTGGGAGATTTTACCTGTATCTGCACTGGGAGATTCTACCTGTAGCTGCACTGGGAGTTTCTACCTGTAGCTGCACTGGGAGATTCTACCTGTATCTGCACAGGGAGATTATACCTGTAGCTGCACTGGGAGTTTCTACCTGTAGCTGCACTGGGAGATTCTACCTGTATCTGCACAGGGAGATTATACCTGTAGCTGCACTAGGAGATTCTACCTTATCTGCACTGGGAGATTCGACCTACAGCTGTACTAACACATCTCCTGGGTGCCCTTTAAAACTCTAAATAAGGCAAAGAAAAATAAAAGTGGACATGAGAATATAATTATACAAATAAAGACGAAATAACATACATATTCATGTTATCCGGTGGTTTATACTTCAGGACTCGCAGAAGCTGGAAGATCCTCACCGCTGTCTGGTCTGGTGACTCTTCACGGATGTCCATCTTTTGCTAAAGAAGAATTCATAAAAGTGATGTACTGCAACATAAATAATGATTTCACTGGCAAGACATCAACGTGACTGCTTCGCAATACCCAGTCAAATGATTTTGCATTTTTTTGGTTTTCTTTGATGTATATATGTGTTGATAAAGGCTTCATAGCTACAACGTTAATGTTTGTTATATTATGAACCTCGCTGATCTAATTTTTGCTTGGTTTTATATATATATTGGTTTTTATATATATATATTTTAACTAAAACTAACTGTCTTTACTGCCTGTATTTACTCCTTTTTAAGCTCGTAGAGCAGACATCAAAGTCTGCAGGTCAGAATTTTAATTTTGCCAGCAATGAAACAATTCACTACCTTAATGAGGATCTGAACCTGGGTCTTTCAGATGAGAACCCAGCTTCCCGTGTGGGTTCCAGGGCCCTGATATAGGGGAACAAGAATAAGCCCACTGCCTACCCAAAAGCATGTCGTAAGAGTCGACTAATTGGGAGCTTCCTTTGAAGTCGGAGTGCATGTGCCTGAGAGGCAAGAAACTAACAGTCTGCACATGAAGGAGTCAGATCTGTCAAATGGATGCACACGAAACAGCCAGGTTCTGAAACAGTACTGCAGTCCAGAAGTGGATGAACAACCAGAATTTCTGCCGGAGTTTAAGCGGGTGAACGCGAAGAAGAAGAACCCAGCATTCCTAACTGCTCGGCTAACCAAACACACTGACGAAAAAATTAACATCATTACAGGTATCATTACAGCAATAAATAGGTGACATGGGGTCAGGTGGAGCCAGCCTAAAATGAGTATTTCTGGGAAATGTTAAGGAAAGTAAAGGCAGTTGACAAGATGACCATATCACTCATCAAGTTCCTTTCTGGTCTATAAAAATATGGGTATAGCAACATATGCCCCAAGCGATGTTGGTGGGGAAATCCTTTTTTTTCTTTAATCAACTAAACACCAAGCAATTTTTACTCTGGCTCCTTATTCCCCTAGAAAGTGAGCTTAAAAGCAATACTATATATTAGCATAGTCAATACTTTGTCCCCATGTGGGATGCCATTTTCTGTTATTTGAAGCCCCACCGTAGCTTTTTAGTTAGTTAGTTAGTTGGGTTATCCTCATTGCACTCCGGACATGTCCATAGGTGCTCAGATCCTCCCCTCAGTATGAACCCCAACGTCCGATGGCTAATAGTACCAGTTCTATGTTGATTAACAAGTCTTCTGGCGTAGCTGGTGTGCGTCTCGTTTTTTGCTGTGCCGATCTTAATTCCCAAGTCTGCCATTCTGGCGAGTGATGTGGATTCACTGCCACCAAAGTCGTCTATCCTTCCCATTTCTCTGAGGGCATTGGTAATATCAGCATGATCCATAGGCTGACCGTCGGTAGTGATAGCGGATCCAGCCAACCTGTCAGCTCTTTCATTTCCATCGACGCCTGCGTGTCCCGGAACAAAAATAAAGGTGACTCCACGGACAGTGGACTTCTGTAATGATTCAAGCCATTGTCTTCGCACTGAACCTGCCTGAACCCTCCGGATCATACTCATTGAATCACTGAGTATACACACTCGGGTGTATTTTTGTGTTTCAAGCCAGGCAAGCGCTTGTGTCACTGCCATCACCTCCATCGTCATGCTGCTGGTTGTCATGGAGAAGGCGCTGTTAGCTTCTTTGACTGTTCTGCCCGCTGAGCGTGCTGTAAATGCCCATGCGCTTCTTCTTTGGCGTATAACGGATCCGTCTGTATAGATTATTGCATCTGCTTCGTCTGAATTTTCACCGATGAGAGCGTTGACCTCTGCATTAACAGCAACAGGATTCTCTTCTCTACATCGCCTGTTGAGTGTGACAATACAGGAAAATGTACAAATAAACGCCCGAGGCACAGGTATCCATTCTGCACCAGGTATGATGTCGGTTAGGCTGCATATTTGCCTAATAACATCTTCTGCCCGACCTAGCCACGATTTCCCCCTCTTCAGTCTGTCGCCCTTTTCACTAAAAAGCGCTTGATGCAGTGGGTGTTTCTTGTCAGCACATATTTTGAGATATGCCCGAGCCCTCCACATCCTGATCCTTTGGTTCATTGTTGGAAAGTCAAGTAGATACCTCATTGCTCCACAGGATGTGTCTCTAGTACATCCCAAAATAATGCGCATGGCTTCATTTTGCACATTTTCAAGTCGTTCAGTCTGGGTGGCACTGACAGTGATGATGGCCAGAGCGTATTCAATGGGGGAAAGGACCAGACCGTAGAATAGAAGTTTTAGTAGTCTTTGCTCAATGTTGGAAGCAGCCATAATCCTCATTGCAGATAGACCTTTGCGTGCTTTTGTTACCACATGGTCAACGTGTTCCCTGAATGACAAGCTGCGATCGAACCTCACCCCGAGATACGTCATAACGTTGGTTCTGATCAATACATTATCACGCATTTTCACTTCTGGTAAGTCCGACTTGACAATTTGATTGTTCAAAGAGAACCATGACACTGATGCCTTCGAAGGATTGACATAGGCATTGGAACCATCACACCAGGCGGCAATTCGATCGAGTTCTTTGTGCATAGTGCTGGCGATCTCCTGTCTATCACGCCCTCGTCGATAAATCAAAATGTCATCAGCAAATGACAAAGTCCTCCCCTTTCCATTCAACTGCTGCTCAGTGATCATCACCGTATAAACGTTGAATAAGACTGGTGATAGCGGTGATCCCTGTGGCAAGCCTGGACATATCGTTTGCGGTTCTGAGGACCAGCTACCACATCTTAGTACAATCTTTCTCTGGAACAGGACCGCAGCAATCCAGCGGATCAGAATAGGATTAACTTCTAGTTTAAGCAGTAATTGCATTAAATAATCGTATGGTACTTTATTGTAGGCATCTTCTAAGTCCAACACTGCCGCACATGTCTCTTCTTTAATCTGAAATCCCTCGTACACATCGTAGGCGAAAACTGCAGCATTGAACCATGTCTCTTTATTTAACCTGTACCCTCCAAGTGTTGGTGGGAACTTATCATGTAGTTCCAAGTAGGTGGTCAATCTTTGTGTGACAATTTTTTCCAAAAGTTTGCCAACAGTATTCTGCATCGAGATGATTCTGTAGCCGCAGATCTTCGAGTGGTCTTTATTAGGCTTTGGTAGTGGGAACAAATAACTATGGAGCCATTCCTCTTGTATCTGGCCACTCTGGATGCTGATATTGAATTCCTTTGCCACGCTTTTCAAATCAGCATTCGACATCATCAGCATGTCGTTGTATCGGATGCCGTCAGGGCCTGGAGCAGTGCTGCGCGATTTCTTGAGGCAAGTTCTAAGGGTATCTGCAGTGATTGTGAGATCAGTGCCTAGCACAGTGTTCTCGCACAGCATCGACAGTTTCATCTTAACCCCCATTCTTGTAGCTTCGTCTTTTTGGTCAGTTTGCTCCAAGTAGCGCGCCAGAAGGGTTTTTCCTTTATCAGCATCAGTTCTCTGCCATATCAGGTCTGTACCCTGAAAATCAGGGATACCCCTTGGTCGTGCGGCACCGTGCATGCTCCGTTGAAGGCGCCAGAATGTCACAAGAGATCCCTCGGAGCAAACACTCTTGCAGAATTCGTTCCATTTCGCTGTCTTAGCTTCCTTCGCAATTAACTTGAAAGCCACTGTCTGCTTGTTGACCTCATCTTTCAGACTGATCAGGCGTTCAGAAAGTGACGGATCAATTTTCCTTGCCTTTTGCCATGCCTTGACAGCTTTCCTTTTTTCTAGCCACGCCATGTTGACTACTTCATTCCACCATGGTGGCTGGGCCCATCTCTCCCGCCGTCTGCGATCTGCTCTTGTTTTACGTCGTCGGATTTTGCTAATGGCATCTTGCCCTGTACTGTCATATATAAAAGCAGGCACATTGATTACATGACCTTTGTTGTTGCTCTTCTCTACCAGGACGACGCAAGGAAAGTGATCACTGTCTTGGTATCCCAGTGTGCTCCACCTGCATCCTGATGCAATGGAGGGAGACACTAGGGCCAGGTCAATTACGCTGTCAGAATCCCCTTGTGTTGCCATTCGGGTAACCTTTCCGTCGTTCAAGCATACTAGATTGGCAGACACTAGGGCATCCTCCAGGTCTTCCCCCTGTTTATTAGTGATTACATTGCCCCACTGGTGTCCTCTGGCGTTGAAATCTCCGCAGTAAAGGACTTTCTTCTCCTCCGTCTGGAGCAAACTCTGCCATTTCGCTGTATCTACCTTTCCATTGCAGGCGTACACATTGACAATCACAAACTGGGCCGGGCCCATCACTCTGACTGCGTGTACTTGTAGGTCGTCATTATTCCACTTAGACATGTCCACCTCAGACACCGGTATGTGGTCACGAACAAGAATGAGCTGTCCGAGGTGCCGTCTATTGTAGAAGGATTGGTAGGGACTACAGTTTCGACAATTTGCGATCTTTTCGGCAATTTCCGTTACCCGGAAACCGTTCAGAACTTGTTCGGGAAATCTCGGCTGGTTTCCGGATGGGTCCAAATCTCATGAAAATTCGTGATTGGTGGGAATTTGGACCAGCTATAAATAGCTGGAAACAGCGTGGGGGAACCCGATTAACAGCGCATGTCTACGACAGCCGGACTCCTCTGTTTTTCTGTTAGTCATCAGTTTGATTGAAAATAGCGGTAAATTCGAGGTTGGCTTTAGGCCTTAAACATTACCAGTTGTGGTAATGCTAGTTACAGTTGAATTCTCCGTCCAATTTTACATTTGCATAAATAAATTTCTTTCCCGACTTTCGCTGTTTAGATTTACAGTGACATTTTTTAGGCAATCGCATGCGGCTGAGTCTCACTGCCTGCCATCTTGTCCAATGACAGTCCAATGTCAACAAAGCCGATACAGAACTGCGCAGTAGGTTGCGCAGTGAAAAACTTCTTGTTTCTGGGTCACAAGTTTTAGCGGCTGTTTCTTACATCTCATCTCCACAAAAACCTACATATCTCAGCTCAGAAATGACATACAAGCCTAAATGAGGTACCATTGGAAAGAGATTGTTTACAGCTATCTAAATGTGCTGGTTTTATTGGTGTAGAGGGCATTTTAAAAATTTGACTGAAGTAGCTAGGATTGGAAGCCCGCAATTTTAATGATCTCGTCACCGAGGTGTGTTTCCTGTAGGACAACAATGTCGTTGCTGTAGAGGAGCTTCTCAAAAATGGGTCGGCGTTGACTGAACGAAGCGCAGTTCCAGTAGAGAACACGAACATACTTTAAACTGAGTCTCTCACATTTCAGCCGCTTCCTGCAGGCGCCACCGTGCTTGCCTGTTCGCGTTCTCTTTGTCCGTCTACGGGTTGTTTTGAATTGGTAAATAGTCGCCATCGGACGTCGAATACACCCTGAGGGAAGTCTAAACTCACGTGCATGTACTCCATTGCACAGTTCAGACCCCATTCCGATGAAACTTTCACATTATACGTGAGCGAAAATAGCTAATTTGCGCCATTCGCCTCAACGGACGAAAAAGCGTACCGCCATTGTGGCTGTTTACACCGGAAGTCCACCCTAGCTTTTTGCCGGGGATCTTGAATATAGCTGTGGCATATATATATGGTTTAGCCATAGATATGGCCCAACAGCTGAACGGGGTTTCTGGGACCTTTCCACAGGTGATCCTCATCCGCATGGTGGCACTTTGTGTCAAAGGGTGTTTATCGCTTGTGTGATGTCCTGGTGGGGGTACAACTACCTAACTACCTACAAAAAGCAATACATATGTAGTCTTAAGTAGCTCAACAGGGACAACTATAAGACAGAAATATTTAAATTAATAATTCAGACACAAAGAGATAATGTAATATCTGCCTGTGACAGAAGACAGCAGGGACATTATATTATATTCTCTCTGCACGCAGGGGTGCTTGCATCACATGAAAGGTCGCATATCAGGGATTTTCTATCCAGGTAATTCAGGTGTAAGAGGTAACAAGGGGGCGAATAGATTAGCTGCTGCCACTCCTCATGGCAGTGAGCTGTTATATGATAATGCTGACATGGTGAAGGTTGTATGGGATCAAATGGACAGTGCAAAATAACAGTTAGGGGATCAATACACTGAAAGACTAATTCAATGGGTAGGGGGGGGGGGGGGGGGGGGGGGGGGTTTGTAGAAGTTTAGGAAGATATTTCACATTAAAGTGGAAACAGAGGTGTAATTTTAACCAGGTTGTAGTTGGTACTATTAGCATGTCAACTCTTTATTGGTTACTGAAGAAGGGGAAGGAGCAAGTGTGGGAATGTTCCCTAGTGTACAGATGTCAATTCTTGATTCATTCATTCATTTTTTGCAAACATCAAGAAATGTATGGTGAGTTGTTTGGTACTGAAGGAGTTAATAAAATGTGTGATCCTTACGTCAAATCACTGAATCTATGAAAGTTCCCCATGTGGGTCCCCAGGAAAAAGAATAGACCCACTCACCCCCCTCCCCCAAACGAGCATGTCTCAAAAGTCAACTAATTGAGGGGGGGGGGGGGGGGGTTAACTCAGATTGCATATGCATGAGAGGTGATGAACCAACAGTTGGCATACTTATAAGCTAGCTCTGTAAAACAGATGTGCACACAAAACTCAAGTTCTGGAATGGGACTAAAGTCAAGAAATGGATGAACAGCCATAACTTTTCACCAGAGTTTACAGCTGGTTAAAGCAAAGAAGAAAAAGAATGTATGAAATAATGTTTTCACTTAGTTTAATATTAGATATGCATATCAATCTACTATTCGATCAATTTTGTCTGTCGTTTCTTTCATAAAATCCTATTAGATTGATCGTCAATGAAAACAGCAACAAACATAATAATACATGCATTATAAAGCCCCGAGATATTTGCAACATTTATTACTACAATACTAGTAATTACCACTTACTACTGTGATAATTGTAAAAAAAAAATTTTAAGTAAAGGACTCTTTTCCACGCCTTTCAGGTGTTGTGGGTATAAAGGGCTAGACCTTTATTTTATAGACCAATGGGCACTTGGTGGGTGATGTGGTCAACATCACACTAGCCGCCTTTACTTCCCAGGACTGCACCTGGTACCCACTCAATGCTTGGTCAACCTGGGAGCCAAGGTCATTTTTTAAAAACGTCCTGCCCCCATCAGGAACCGAACCCCCAACCTTCCGACCCGCAGGCAAGCGTCCAGCCCATAGACTACGGTGGCTCCCAACTGTTATAAAGCTACAGAAAATATATCATACAAAATACCGGAAGACTGCTTAGTTTAATATTAATTTTTAAACAGAGCACGCAGTCTGACTTAAAATGATGAGGAGGACATGGGTGTTAGCTGCTGCATGTGATTGTAGCAAAGGTGTGGGTTCGCTGGGGGCCTATGGCCCATTGGCAGATAAAGGCAGAAGAACAATGTAGTCTATACTGAGAATCAACATTTGTTAGCCATGTGATGAGAAGGAGAAAACTGGAGTACACCGTGACAGTAGGAAAGCTGGAGGGGAAAGAGGCAGAGGGAAACAGAGAGAAAAGATACTGGACAGTTTGACATCAGGGCATGGAGGATCACCTGTGTCAGAACTGACATAGGACAGAAGGTTGTGGATAGACATGACTACCAACATCACACAGCATGGACTTTAAGCAGAAGTATTGAGACAATGTTCACATACTGTGTTCCCCTGAAAATAAGACTAATGCACTAGTGTTCACTCTTTGGAGGATGTCTTTTTTCCAGACACGAAACTTCTGGAACATCGACATAACTCTACAAATCCTGAATTCCGGCCTGTATATCTTGTGATGTCTTTCCTGTAGAACTTTGGCCTCTCATAGCCATCAACAAAGCTTAATTAAACATTTTGAATCCATATAGCTTACTTGTAGTGCATTTATTTTTATCCAATAAATTCTTCACCCTAGTCACGACTATCTGCAAAAGAAGTGACATACCTTTAAATATGAACCACATCTGCTAATAACTGAGTGCGCACCACTGGTGTCAGTACTCCGCTGGTCATTTAGCAACAAGTCTCTCATACTAGCTGGCCATCTTAACTGGGGCTTTTTTTTTTTTGCGTGGGGCTTATATTAGAAGCATCCTGATGCAAGGCTTATTTTTTAGGGTAGGTCTTATTTTCAGGGAAACAGGAAGTTACAACTGCATCTATAGGGGTTGGTGGTGTGCCTGCTGCCACGTGGAAGGCTGATATGCCAAATCTCTAAACAAATCAATTAAAATCACAGGCTAACCTTGGGATCAATAACAGCCAGGACATCATTGAGAACTTGCAACAAATGTAAAGGTTCTAGTGAATCAAATGAAATCAGATTGTAGGACTTGTTGAATGGTTCCTTGTTCAATTCTTTGACGATAAACTTCATCAGCTCGCTCATGCTCATCTTGGAAGCTGGTTATAACTCTATATAAAAGAAAACAGCATATTTATTTATGTTTAAAACAGTTATCTCTTGTATATATTTTGTGAGAGCTCTCCCTCATATCCTCACTGGCACTTCTTTTTCTCTCTCACTAAATAAATCAGTGAAAAATGAAAGAAGATGGTCAGATTTGTTGAATGTCATAGTCCTATAACACAGTGTGTCGTTGAGTCACTAACTGTTGTTGACTGCCTGTTTGGATCCCTTTACCTGTCAGCTGCATGCAGCAGTTTGAAGTTTGCATATTTGAGACCCCTCCGATCATCCAAATTCTGTACAAAAGTCTTTCTTGGTCTGGCTTGTCTTCTCTTCCTCTCTAAAGAACCCTGTACTATCATTCTGGAGAGGCCAGTAGATCGTCTTATATGTTCCTTGATTGCATTGTTCATATTTTCACTGTTGTTAAAAGAGATTCGTAAGTGTCAATGTGTTCAGTGATGAAATGGTGAACTTCAATATTTATAACATCATATACCAAGGATCTTGTTGAAAAATATAATTTCCAATGTATTCTTTTCAAGCTCAGATGTTATTAACTCTTTCAGTACAAATCAACTCAATATATTTCTTGGATGCTTCAAAGATAATATAATTTCCTGTTGCTTTCTATCACACACACATGTTATATTTACTGACATAACAAGTTTAGGTGGTACATGGTGTGGACAATTTTATGTCACACTCCCTGACAGCCTTTCTTTTTTTTTTCTTTACACACACTCAATTTTTTTTTTTTCAACACACACTTAATTTCGTCCTTTCATTATCCCTCAGCGATGACATCTTCCCCCTACAGGCCTGGGATGCACTGAGGAGAGAATTCTAGCACCTGAAGCAGCGGTTCTCAAACTGCAGGTCGCGACCCTTTTTGGATCGAACGACCCTTTCACAAGTGTCGCATAAAACCATCGGAAAAGTAAAACAAACACGAAACTCATGGAAAATAAATGGTTTCGAGTCGCTACAACAACACATGATTGAACTGTATTGAAGGGTTGCGGCATAAGGAAGGTTGAGAGCCACTGACTTATAGACTGAAACAGCTCGTCTGTTTTTCGATGCTGCGACATCGGATGGTCTATTGTACTGTCATCAAGATCAGCAGAATGAGCTAAGTTCACTTATCGTTTTTTACTACTTTTAGTTACTTATCGACTGGAGACTAGAAAGTAGATAATAGATAGTAAGATACTTTTTTAAAAAACAATATATTACTTTTTTTTAAAAAAACTGCTTAGTGATCAACTTACTTTGAATCACAATATAAAGTAAAGTGATGCAGTCAGAAAACTTCTATAGCATCTAGTCACCACAAAGCCACGAAAAGACGTCTCTCTGAACTATCAATCACTTCCAACAGTCAGTGAACAAGCTTCAGCCCATTGCCATGGCAGAAGAATGCTATACCAGAAGCCACTTGTCCGGAAACTATAAAAGTTTGAGCTAGTAGTACACGTAGTGAGCAATAAACCAACCACCTGTGAAGATAACCAATAGCTTATAACATTTTAAATATAAAAAATAATGTATTAAATAGTGTAATAATATAACAAATATTGTCGAAAGCCTTAGTTATTGGTAAATATAGCAAATGTGTGCTTTTTTTTGTTTGTTTCTTGTATCAGGTGTATCTTTTAAAGCTGCAGCTAGCTACGTGTACTTCCTGTAAAGATGGCTCCCTTCAAAGAGGTTTGTGTGTGAATGTGGAAAGATTTCAATGTTTGAAAATGATTAGTGTCTTTCTTAAAATTATAGTTTATCGTCACGACATTTGCATCAGTTAAATAAAACTGATGTTAATGGTTCAAAATTAACCGATAGCCTAAGAAAAAGTCGTCCGTCTGGTCTCTTACTTTTTACTTTCTAACTTAGCTTCACTCACTGCTTGTCTGCTAGCGCTGATTCCACCCAGAGAAAACTCTATTATTAACTTATTATACTACTATCAAAAGTCCCAGGTAGTTAGCATCCTTTGGATATTTTCTCCAGGTCATGCCGTGTGTTGGGAAATGAGCAGGCACATTGGCTGGCTCTGCACCACTTGGTTGTGAATTGATTTGATGTATAACAAGCTAGATATTGTGAGGACCCCTACTTTAGGAACGAGTGAACAGTGCAGAGGCGTAGCTAGATCATTATGGTCTGAGGAGAATGGCGCTGCAAAGAGTTACCAAGGGATCTGGCCGATGCTCAACACCCAGGGGAAGTATGAGACGGATATACGATCAGACGGTTCCTGTCGCCATCGGAATTGGAACTCTTTGCTTGCCTCTGAAGATGGGGATAGAGCACGTATGGGAGTGTCTGGGTGCTGTGTTGACTTACTGTATTCTGGATTCAATGTATGATTAAAAATCAGTCTCCATGGATTTCTTTAAAACATACAATGAGCACTGGAGAATAAGACTTTTCTCTGGAGTATCAGGAATTGTTTGGAGAAGGCGAAATATTTTTTTTAAAACATCTCATAGTATCATGATAAAGAATATGTTAATATACAGATATAGAGGAAGTTACAACTACATCTATAGGGTGCAGTTATGTTTTTAGCATACACTGCAATGTGATAAATAGTAAATATTAAAAATTTTTTAAAAAATCTAATTATTAGGCTGAAAAGATACAGAGAATATTATTCTACTTAGTCTTATGCTAAAATCACTAGGCCGGGTTATTGTTGATTATTGTGAGTAGAACTCGCAGAGATGACAGTGACACTTCTAGTTCCAGCAGCACCACTAATAAGACCAAGCTGCGACTGTCCTCTTTGTGTGGTGAGACTGGTAACGTGGTTGGTTACAAATCCTTTGGAAGACACTGTTGACTCTTAGTGCATGAAGATTTCACTGCAGATGGCCAACAAATGAAATAATTACAGTGCAAAGAGTATGAATGCATTACCTTGATAGATGCAGCTTTTCAACCTCCTCCTTCTGCTCCCACAACCTCTTTTTCAATGAAGCATAGGCCTACAGCTATCTGATCTCTTGCAGCTAACCTTCCCATCTTTTTCACCTCATTTACTGACTCCCTTCTCCTTTGTTTGTTTAGTCCATCTTTATTACTTTGACCCTATGGATTCCAATGCATTAACATTCTAGTTATATTGTTATCAGGTTTTTTTTTTCAGTATGTGCCCTATCCAATGCCATCATCTTTTCATCACCTGTTAATTCACTGGAATTTGTTCTCTCCCAAAACTCTACACTAGTGATTCTGTCATATCTATTTATTCCCTCCATTCTGCACAGGCAACAGTTGATGAATGTTTGTAGTTTATTAAAAACTATTCTGCATGTTTCAGCATCATGAAACAATACTTAAGTTTACTTTATAGCTAAATAATTTAAGTTTGGTACTCTTCTTCATTAAGGCTGACCAACTCATGAAGCATTTATTGGTAATCATTTGATGTACTTTTCCTAGTTTCTTTCTATTCTTCTGTTATCTTACTTCATCCATGTTTACCTGAATTCTGATTTTTGTCTGAAGTCTGCCACATAGTTGATTGATTTTTAACTCATTCAGACTCAAAGATTGTGACTCTGAAGTGTTTTTAAAAAAAACTTTGGGTTAGAAAGTGTTGAGAAAACAACTGCCTGGGACTAAAATAGTTGAACCTGCAATGGATAAAGAAGACAGAGTGAGTATAGAAAATAATTAAATGACCGTTGAACCAACAGGTCTAAGGCATGCAATTTTTCATTTTTTAGTCTGAGGCATGCAATGTTTAATTTATATGAAGAAATGGTGTTGGAGAGATGGTTCCTGCAAGAAGAGGCAGGTGATGGCCAGCGTGACAGTGGACACAAGATGTCAAGGATACCATGGGCATGAAACTTCATGGAGAATTGGCAGTTGACCGATTGGGTTTCTGACAAAAGACCTGCTACATGAAAATAATGAAAATGTGTTGGATCGAGATTATCACTGAAGACAGCATCATTATCTGTCAGTTCTAGAGTTGGATGATCAAATCACTCTGTGGGCAGAGGCACAACCGGCTCCAGCTGACGGGCCATGCTGCTGACGTCACTGGGTCGGGCTAATGCTGCGTTAGCAGTGGTTTTCAAACAAGGAATAAACTTATTTTAGACAGTGGTAAGGGAAGACAACTTAAATTTAAACTTTTAAGTATTTAAATGCCTTTTTTAATCATTTCACAATTTTTAGACGATTTGACTTGATTATTGCTGCGGCACCCCAGACATACGCTCACAGCAAGCACCTCAAGGTGCAGTGGCACCCAGTTTGAGAATCGCTGCCTAAACGCATCGTTAGCCCGACCTGGTGACGTCAGCCGGAGCTGGCCGTGGCAGAACCATCTGCTACAGTGTGATAAACTTACCAGCTCTGCTTCTGGCTGAGATAACTGACAAAATTATCTGTTTGTGAATTAGATTTTTTGCAATTGCTCTGAGAAGCCACAAAACTGGTAACTCTCATCGGGTCCAATCTCCCATGAGAGTTACTTTACTAATTTGCTGCAGTGGCTTCTTCTCAATATGTAAAGGTAACAGCTGCAGTGGCTTCTTCTGATGTAACATTTGTCATTTGGGCCGGCACAAACATTAAAGAAGACTAGAATTGATAATATTTACTTATTTAAAAATGGGGAGGGAGTTTGAACTAGTTTTTTTTTTTTTTTTAATAGAAATTATGACATCATATTTTCTCATTACCGCTCATGGTTACCCACAAGTAGGTTAGGGGGTCAGTACTAAGTCACTATATGAATTATTTTTATGGTTAACAACAGATGGGTCAGTTAATTCATGTTTACTGACTACTACTACTACTATTTTTTTTAAAGTAATATTGATTTGGTTTATAGATAGAATTGTTATGATTTTTCTGAGTGACCTGTGTAGAAAAAAAGTTTTTAAGGATTTAATTTTGAGAAATATTGAAATTTAGGACTTTGGCTTTTTTCTGTACCATCAGCGTGAAAGAGTTAAAGGGCGGCTGGCATTTTGTACTGTTGTTTACAGTTAGGCTGCGGAATCTGCATCTTTCATCTCATCACATTCACTTTCAGAAGATCACTAAAGTCACCTTTTGCAACATGCTTGTTAATTAGATCTGTTCTATTGTTCCTTCAAAATATGCACCCGGAACCTTCACCGAGAGAATTAAAGTAAGGCAAAGTATCAAGAGGAAACGATTCTGTTAAAACTAGTGCCAAGTTAGGTTTTAGATGGCTGGAATAGAAACAAAAAAAGATAGTTTATTGATGATGGAAGATTGTATGCTCAACAGCACTTGTAGTAGCCTTAATGTCTATTTACCAGTCAGTGGTTCATCTGTGCTGTCTGCTGAATCCAGTTAGTTCCTTTCAAGGAAGAATTAAAAACTCTACCACGTTCAACTTGCTGCTAGCTAGCCGAAGTTGCTAACACTCCAGTTATGTTTGTGGTTTGGTTTATTAGTGCCATGTTGTGTCTAAAGTTCTGGTATTTGGGCCGTCTCTGAGCTTAGTCCTTTTCCCCTTCAAATCAAACCGCCCCCGATCTTTTTCTCTGTCCGGGTGAGTTCCTCCTGCCTTTTCCTTCTTGGTGTTTCCTCTTTTTTCCTTGCTTCTTCTGTTTTGGCAAGGCCTGCTGAATCCAGTCTTCCCTTGCTTAAATAAACAAGTCCTAGAGTAATCATCTCTGTATTATCTTGTAGTGCCATGTATGTGTCACATAGGGATTGCAGTTTATTCCTTTATACTGCAATTTGCAGTCTGTCTTTTATATCCTGGATGTAATTCATTTCAGCATCTTTAGCTTTTCTGGTCAGTGTTCACCTGAGGATTTCTGTTAGATGTCCTTTTAACCCTTAGATTTTCCATGTTTTGTTTGATGCACCATGTACTCTCACATTGTTCTTATCCATAATGTGGAGGCCATTGCTCCAAGTGTGGTCACAGTTATAAAAAGGATATATTGAGAGAAAGATTACATTTTGTTACAGTTGAAAGTTGTGTTTGCCTGTTCTTATAAATTATTGTAAATGTCTTCCACCAGATTAAGGAAAAGCCAGTGAAGATTGACAAGTGGGACACTGGTGCTTTGAAAAATGCTTTGGATGATGGTGCTAAGAAGGTAATCTTATCTTGGTGTCTGCAAGCCATGTGTCCCCTCTCCTGGCTGCTACCTGAAAAGTTTTGACACTCTGAGATCAGAAGATCTCAGTCCCTATGACAAACCAACAGAACCCCTCTCCCATAAAAAGGGTTCTTTTCTGTTATTTCACCACCTCCTGTAGGCCTTGAGATTTGATAGGAAAATCCCCAGACCGTCTATTGTAAAAAGGGGGGGGGGATGGGGGTTAGGGTAAAGGCTAGTGTAAAAGGAATAGCGACTACTACTATGTCTAACCCAAATTCCCCTCTCCCACTGTGGGATGGTCTGAGGATTTCCCTACGAGACCTTGAAGTCGGTGTTATGTTGTGAAATAACAGAAAAGAGCCAAAAAACAGTCTCAGTGCTGGTGGCAGACCACTATGGCAAGCCCAAATACCCTATTTAACCTCCAAGGAAGTTATAATTAGGCCACCCATAATTGCCACACCAGCCAGATTAAACCTGCAACCCTGTGCGGTAAGGATGGCCAAAAGTATTGTTTTATATATATATATATATATATCATCGGAGAGCCTTGGCAGCGCAATGGCTCCACGCTTGCCTTGATAATGTATAAAAGCAGGGTCAGCTTGTTGGTAGGCAAGCGTGGAGCCATTGCGCTGCTGACCCTGCATTGATACATTATATTCAAAACTATCTTGGGCTCGCAAGTTAAAGGTCCCTTTTCAGCACCTTTAGGCGAATTGGGAATTTAGGGCTAGACCTATATTTTTATACACTAATCGGCACTTGGTGGGTGATGTGGTCAGCATCACACCGGCTGCCTTTACTTCGCAGGGCTGCACCTGGTACCCACTCAAGGCTGGGTCAACACCATGATGACTCAGGCTCGCAGGTTTACCCATCCTAAAATGATCACATCATCCAGTTAGTACGTTAAGGAACCGACTGGTCTGTGACAGTATGTGCCCAGCACCATATACCTGATGCACCACTGGGGGTGAAAAGGCCATTTCACTCTGTTGTATCTTCACTTGTTATTTCACTTCGGTGCTGCAGGTATATGAAAAAGGAGATGCATCATCTGTGCCATATGAAAGACTTAATGCTGTGAGGCTTTCGGATCTGTGGAAAATGAGTTTTCACTGAATAGACTGCATATCCTAGATGTACTAGTTAGGGCTGCAAGACAGGAAAACCCTGTGGGAACCACCCATTGTTCCATCAGCCAGAACAGAATGTGACAAATACTTGGAGACATATAGGAAGAGATAGAAGTACTTATGGTCGTGACCTATGTGCAATAAAGATGACCTCTAAAATGAAACAATAAAACCAACAAAACAGCCCCAAAGCAGTCATTATAGGAAAGCAGAATGAAGACTACTGAGCAGTTAGTGGCAGTATAAACAAAGCCAACAAGAAAGAAGAACCATCAATGTTTAGGCTTCGGGCAGGAAACTGGTTTTGGAGAACATCTACACAAAGTAGGCATAAAGTAATCTGGGGATTGTGGAAGAAGCTTACACACACCCAGAAAAAAGATCCAGCCCTGTGGAATAAAATCTGGTGCAGAGATGTAGATCGTTTCTTCTTTAAATATTTTGCTTCTGTGATTTACTAAAGGCACAGCCAGCCAAACAATTACAAACACTGGGCTGCTGTCATACAGGTAACCCAGGGTCTAATCATCAGTAAGGTTATGAACATTTCTTTTCTGTCCAGGGCAAAAATAAAATCCTCACCTGCACAGTCTGTGGTGACAGCACTAGCTGTGCGGCCATTAATCCTCAGACTCACATACGTACACACACACACACACCTATTCGTAGTCGTCATCCCCCCGAGCCTACATTGCAAAAGTTGTAAATACATGCAGATCTTCTTCTCGCTCACCAGCTGTGAATTCCGGCGGAAGGTCCTGGTAGTTCATTCATTTAGACTTTTAGCTTTTACCTGGACCCGAGTTTTGCTTGTACATCTGTTCTACTGGCTTATTTGTTTGCCGTTCCCTGCCTCACCAGCAGATGTACTCAGACTTCGAGGGAAATACAGGCAGTAATGGCAGAAAGTTTTTTTTTGGGGAGGGGGGGGGGTCGCATGTTTTTAAGAAGTGTTCAAAGAAACACTAAGTATCAATTGGTCATTCTTATTTAGGCGTATCATAAGAGGTCAGATGTAAAACATTTTTCTGCTATACTTTCTGCAGGTGCTCATCGATATTCATGGTTATAAAGAATCACACCGGTTGATGGATGGGCGTCTCTTCATCTGTACAATCGCTATTGGTTTTGCACTGTTTGCTTTGGTTTGGGACTATCTGTACCCCTTTCCATTGTCCAGAAATGTCCTCATGACATGTGCTCTCTCGTATCCTTGATATAGTTGCTTAGATAGTTGGAGAGTGTGACACTCGCAGAAAGGTGAATGTAAAATTTATTTACAAAATTGTAGTTATGTGGTTGTTTAAGAAGTCTTTTTGTGTGTGTGCGTGTCCTTAATTTGTTCATAAGTAAAGAAAAGAAATATTCGTCAACTTATTGCAGGAAGACAACTATAAGACCACTATGGTCACACGCAAAATACTATCACATTTCGGATCTATCTAAAACCAGAAACTGTTTTCAGTACTTTTTGGCAAAGAAAAATACTCAAAATGGTGGTCCAAAGGACGTTATGTATAGAAGTTCGCTCTCCTACAAAATATGCCTGGCCAAGTCATAGAGAGATAACACCAAAGAGGAAATACCTGGAAGGAAAAGGCCAGAAGAACACAGCTAACAACTGGGCAGAGAACGAGAGGTCTGACTTTGAAGGAAGAAGGCATCAAGCCAAGAGACGGCGCAATTAGTCGCGAAAGTGACGCAAATACCCCAGACCACAATATAGACAGAGACTGTTAGCAGCCTCGGCTAGCTAGCAGCAGTCTGAAAGTGGTCAACCTTTTAATCTTTGTCTCAAAAGGAATCAGAATATACATCAGCCATGTCTAGTTATATGTATAGTTATTTCACACTATAAAAACAAAAGGTACAATGGTATAATTTTCTGCTGCTTTAAAATACACAAGGAGATGTGATGCAGTCAGGCAATCTTAGGCTAGGCTACATAGCAAATGGGTCAACCCATAATTGCTCAGTTCCTATTCCAGTGAAACCCACACAAAATGTCCATCACTGACCCTTATAAAAAAAATTTACACAGACTGCATTCTCAGCAAAGCTAATAGCATACAGATGCATAAGACAGCCATCAGAAGTGACAATACCAAACAGTCTGACACTAGAACTGCTGTTCATGGTCGGTGGGTGCAGCATTTACAACAAATCAGTATTTGCATACTCAGTTAATAACATAAGGCAATGTGTGTTTATATTAGCCATAACAGACCCCATTTCAGTAATATTAATTGCCTGCAGTGTCAGACCCTTATGTCCATTAAGGTGAGGTTAACAAACCCACTAAGCATTTCTTGGTGTTTCTAAAGATAATAGAATGTTGCTGCTGTCTTCTGTTACACATGTAAGCTATATTGGCCCTTTGTAAATAAGTTATTAGCTCCTGTCTCAATGTTTCTATGTTCAGCTTCTTCAGATCTAAGTATTTGTTGCTTTCAAGCTTAACTTCGGGACATACAGAGTTGAAGTAACAACTGCTTGATAGTGAAAGGGTTAAGTAACACTTTTCTGACAATTAGTTGACATGAGTCAATTCTAGTGGTGATTTTAGCTATTGGCAGTAATATCACAGAGCAGGATACTCTCTTATCTGGCAGTCTAAAAGATTGCTGAAGGTTGAGAGGCTCAGACATGTGGCCGTGGAAAGCAAAGAAGAGAAAACCAAAAAAAAAATATAATCCTTAAAAAAAATTAATGGACTGACATCCTACCTGACCTGAGCATTGAGGAAAACTGGCTCATAAACAGCATCTTGTTCTGAAAGCTGAGGTATTCTGACCATGTTAAACGTCGTGGTAGCCTTGCTCCTTTAAGAGAAAACAGTGATCTTCTTAAAGTCCATGCTGAAAGGCGTTGGTAGTCATGTCTGTCCACAACCTTCTGTCTCATGCACTTTCAATCAACTTTGACACAGATGACTCATGTCATGATGACAAACTGTCCAACATCTGTTCTCTAAGTCTCTCTCTCTCTGCCTTTCCTCCCCTCCAACATTCCTACTGTCACAATGTACTCTAGTTCTCTCCATCTTATCACGTGACCAAAGAATGCAGATTGTCTCTTTCTGATGCTGGCAGTCACTTTCAAGATGCTTTCATTACTCCTTTTATCTGTGATCAATCACCATCAGTTCACTTTATGCTTAGTAGCAAATGAGGCTTCAGAGAGGACTTTCCATGCTTTCCTATCCTGTGCAATCTTCAGTGCAGTTTTCCATGTCAGAAATGCCGCACTCAGGTCACTTTCCATCGTTCATCTCCATTTTTTTTTTTTTTGGGCCCCCCTTTTTTCTCTTTCCCTCTGGTATCCATTTTATCAGTGATAGAGGGTACAATTTCCGGAAAATGCGGCAGGTGCAGAGCTCCATAACCATGTATACCAGACATTAAAGATGCATTATCTATGAAAGCACACAGAGCTGCAGAATTGGCTAGAGGAAGAGAGACTTCCACCGCATCGTGAGGAGAGTGATGTTCTGTAACGGACCTGCTGTTTGATGAGGATGAGGTTTCTAACTACTGTTCAGGGTTGTTTGTTATAGTAACATGTTTTGTTTTAAATATGAGTCTTTACTCTCATTGTAAACTCTTTTCTTTAACACCTTGCCTTAGCTATTTTTTCCTGATGGGAATTTTAACACTCTACCTCAGTTACATAGAAAAGGGTATATTTCTGGTGGCTCTGGAACAAGACAGGGCTATGATGGAGCCAGATAATGAATGGAAACTGTCATCCTCACTCCGCAAGTAAGTGCCTGCAATAGTTCCCTGTGGAGATGTTGCAGTTCTGTGCTGTCATAATGAAGCTAATGGCCATAGCAAAATATTGTGGTTTCACACCATCCATTCTGTCTGTCTCCCTCCCCTCTTCTCTCTGCATTGCTCTCCTCTCTGTTAGCAAAATACTGCGATTTCATACCAGCCTCTCTGTTTGTCTCCCTTCCTCTGTATCTCCCTCATCTGTGTGTGTTAGCAAAATGTTGTGGTTTCATACCACCCTGTCTGTCTCTCCTCCCATCTCTTCTCCCCAAATTCTATGTTTCTCCTTCCCTCTCTGTCCTCCTCTTGCCTGTCCATTTCCCTGTTTTTTCACTAGCTCTCTCTCTCTCTCTCTCTCTCTCTCTCTCTTCTCTCTCTCTCTCTCTCTCTCTCTCTTTCTCTCTCTGCCTGCCTGCCTTACACTCTCTCCTGTTCACTGTTTAGGATAACATTGTCATCTGTATGTGAAACACAGTTACAGTACTTTTATAAGTAGTTGTCTGCAGTCATTGTCAGTGAGGTACACGAAAATAATCACTAGACATAAAATGGTACCTCGGTACATGTACTTAATCCGATCCAGATCCTTGGATGTTTACCAGGCAGGATACACCAAATAAATTTTCAAAAATGAATGAATGCAGTTCAACCCCACCAGGTCCCCACAATGAGCGATAAACACAAAGTGTCACTATTCGGATGAGAATCACCCAGGCACCCAGGCACTTAACATCCCAGAAAGGGCCCCCGAAAAATTGTGTAACTATTAGGTAGGAAAAATTAATTTCCCCCGAATTAAAAAAATGATTGTCCGTTCCTGTGGACGAAATTCCTATTATTATTGGCGTATTAAATACTGATGGAGTTATATAAAATACTTTAAACACTGCTGAGTACTAAAAGACAGTCTGAGAAGGGAGGAAGAGATATTATTGTCCCCTTCCAGTGAAACTACAGGAACCTGAAATTAGTGTTTTTTCTTTCTCTATCTCTTTTCCCTACTGGAACCTGGTTGAGGCTCACCATGTTTGACTTCTACTAAAAATGTGTCCAAAAAACTTCCTGCCTTCTCCTCGAGATGTTTCAGAAATTTTTCTGGTCATTCTGGACAATGCTATTATGGAGTTTTTTGGGTGGTACTTCTATGTAAAGTTTGTGACATTCCATCCATTTGGCAAACATTTGCTTGATTGATGAGAGTGGTAAACTAGGGCTGTGTTTGTGGTGTCAAAACTAATTTTGACTGATGCAAGTTCTAGATGTCTGTGGCTTAGGTGTTGCTAACGTGATTCGTAATGCCGACATGCTGGGTTCGGTAGAATGGTGCACCTTTGGGTTACTACCCTTGTGCTGTGTTGTTGATCCATTGTATAAACCTTTATCCTATTTTAAATAATCAGAAAAGCTCTTCACAGATACGTTTTTAGCATGTGTATTCTTGGTGTTGTGTGGAGGGGGGAGGAATCAAGAAGGGAATGGAAATAAAGGCAACAAATTGATTGCAGAAAGGTTGAGAGCTGAGCATTTAGAAACAAACTAAACGTATATGATAACAACAATGGCCCCGAAGTCCCCTGCTCAAATTGTGTTAGACTTTTTGTAACAAGGCCATATCTTTCTGGTCACATTGTGGTCACCTGAGGCATTGATTCCCATGGCAGAATATAACACTGTCATATGAAAACACAGAAAGATGCCAACCCAAATGTCTGGTTAAACGTGTATTTTTTATTTTAATCACTATCCTCTGAACACTGAAAGATGCCAACAAAAATGTCTGGTTAAACGTGTATTTTTTATTTTAATCACTATCCTCTGAACACTGAAAGATGCCAACAAAAATGTCTGGTTAAACGTGTATTTTTTATTTTAATCACTATCCTCTGAACACTGAAAGATGCCAACAAAAATGTCTGGTTAAACGTGTATTTTTTATTTTAATCACTGTCATCTGAAAACAGAAAGGTGCCAACCCAAATTTATGCTTAAACACCTTTTTCTTTTTTTTCTTGTTAAATCTTTGCTGGAGCTTCAGTGTTTATTTGTAATGCAGATATACTCCTCATGTGATCAATGAAGGAGACTTTGGCACTTATGACATTAACTGTTTGCTGTGCAGTTAAGATGATCCCTAACCAAATCAAACTAAGGGAGGGGCTGGGACATATTGGCTAGACACTCACCTGCCGGCCCAAAGGTTTTAAGTTCGAATCTGCATTCCTTTTTTTTTTAACCTTTTCAAGGTTGTCCCAGCCCAAAATATGTGCCTGAAACCCCTGGGAGGTGCAGGTGATCATCGTGCTGATGATCCACCAAGGGCTGCTTTTTTTTTTTTTTTTTTTTTTTTTTTTTTTTTTTTTTTAGTCTAGCATCATAGACCCAGTGCCAAGACCCCCACCTCAACAAGCATGTCGTAAGAGTTGACTAATTAGGGGTGTTTCCTGCAAAGTCGGAGTGCATCTGCCTCAGAAGCAAGAACCAATAGATCTGTAAAATGGATGTGCACACAAAACTCAAGTTCTGGAACAAGGCTAAAGTCCAGATAAAGGACAAACAGTCAGTTCACGACCGTTGAATGTGAAGAAGAAGAAGATGAATATACCCAGTATATCGCCTGCTTATAAAAAGAGCCTTTTTTTTGTCAAATGCCCAACAGGTGAGAATAGGTAAGCTTACTGGTTTGAGAATGCAGATACTATGAATAAGCAGAGCTTTAGTGTGGTTTCTGTTTTGTTTTCAGGTATGATGACACGTATCACCTGACCATGATTTTTGTGGATGGGAAGACTAAGGAGGAGAGATCTGCAACAGTTTCCAGACGAGTAGACAACTTCTTTGATGAGAATGGTGTATTTTGCTTTGACTTGTATAAACCAGTTATTGACAGACTGAAGCAAGACCTCTCTAATGAGAAAAAGAAAGACTAATATATATATATATATATATATATGTATATTAAACATCTTGTGTAAGTTAGACTCCCCTCAAAAAGAAAATATGTGTTGATTCAAAAACCTGCTAAGGAATTTGTTGATAGTTTTCAAAAAACAAAAATTTTTTTTTTACTTTTAGTTTGTTATGTCGTGTTGTATTGTGTTTTGTGCAATTTTTTTTTTTTTTTTTTTAAGGGAAGAATATTTTGGGAAAGCTGAATTAATGCCCATATTCTCTTCCAAATTGTTTTTTTTTTTTTTTTTTAATGTTTTAAAGCCTAATTTTGTTTGTATGGTTTTCTGTTTTCTTAGTTAGTCAACAGATTATCCTCATTACACATTTAAAAAAACTGAGTACATAAGTGTTCTGGTGCCCTTCTCATTCATTTAAATCTCAGTGTGTAGTGACTGATAACACCAGTCCTGTGTTGGTTTATTCTTCTTCTTTGGCTTCCTGCATAATGCTCTTGTCTGGCCACACCCCTTTTAACTTGCTGCTCTTGCAGTCTGGTCAGAGTTTGCAGTTTCACTATCATCCCTTGGTTCTCGCAAACGTCTTACTTCTTGTAGTGCATTCAGTATATCAGCCTGGTCCATGGATTGACCGTCCTTCACAATAGCCTCGCCTGCAAGGCTGTCAGCTTGCTCATTTTCTTGCATACCTGCATGCCCTGGCACAGAAATGAAGCTTGTTGATCATGCGAACTCTGGCCCCAGCGGTTTTTACTTGAGCATGCCTGTCCTGGCTTTTACTTTAGCTTATTATGTTCTGTGGCTTAGAGGTTACTGAATTTAACAAATTCATGACCTTCGAATGCTAGGGTTTGACCTTTGAATGCTAGGGTTTAACTTTCAAATACTAAGGTTTAACCTTCAAATACTAGGGTTCAATCTTCGAGGGGGGTAGTTTGTTTTCAGATAGTAGAACGAGTCTACACCATGTAAAAGACTGAGGACTCGTCACATATTTCCGTAAACAACAGTATGTACACAGCCCTTGTTGTGGGGCTGGTATCCAAATTGTTTACTTACTTCCTTATCGGCCGATTGATTAAGGTTCAACACCACCAGGACATCACGCCATGCGATAAACACCCGGTGACGCAAAGTATCACTGTTCGGATGAGGATCTCCTGGGGTCAGATACCAGAAACCCTGTTCGATCTTTAAGTTGGGTTATATTTGAGTCCCCCATTAACATCGTGAGTATGGTGTAAAAATAACGAAACATGGCGTACCTTGTTGGGATGGTAACTGAAAATAACTTCCTTATCCCTTCCCTCTGCATCTGTTTTGAGGGTGTTTGATTGAGACTTGTCTGATCATGATAGTTTTGCTTTCGTCCTACCATAACTAGTAATTAAATAGTAATTATGGTATCATAATTTACCTTTAGCCTTCAGTGGTGACCTAGCAGTGGCGTCACTGTACACATTTTTGTTTTAATCCAAGGGACTGTATTCAATTAACTTTTCACTCTGTATTTATTTATTACTTCCCTTCATATGTTAATTTTTTTTTTGTAGTCTGGAAAATGTATTTCTTTTTTTAATTTATTAGTGGCCTGTGTAACAGCATTTTTTTTTTTTTTTTTTTTGAGATCCCCAAACATAACGGAGTGAAAGGGCTTAAGCATTCATTCAAAAGTTTCAAAACAATGTTCTAAAAAAATTTCATTTATTTTGAATTCTATTGCCTACAACCACTACTTCTTATTCTTCTATGTTATTCATTTTTTCTTAGTGGAATGCCATGTTTTTTTAACACTTCTGAAATTTCTAATCACTTCTTTTCTTAAAAACTTTCACATTATGGTCATCTTTTTTTTTCAAGTAGTACATTTTTAAGGATTGCTTGTAATCAAAATGCATTTCTTTATCATGTATTATAATGCTTTTCTTGACATATTTTGTGTTGTTGTTTTGTTTTTTTCCGTTTTAATTTTAAGTGATGGTATATCTTATGGCATTTATTGAATTGTTTACGTGTCGTCTGTGGTTTAATTGAGGTTAACCCTGTCACCCCGAAACAGCTAAATCTAGTCACTTCCAGTTAGGACACAGCGCCGTAGATGCTGATATATCACCATTTTCTACAGTGACCTGTTAGTGAAAAACGTAGTTAAATGCTGTTGGTTCTTATGTGTCTGCATGGTGTTTAGGAGACCCGGATGTCGATATACTGACTAATTGTAGCATTTAGAAGGGTTTCCTTGTAAATCCACGGCCTTCAAATGTCCCCTAAGCCTCAGTGACATGAATCACTAAATTCATATTTGATTTAGGCATCAAGAAATGCTTTTTGTTTAATGCTTCACTCTGTCCTTCTTTGTTGATTACTGAAAAAAAAATACTGAAATTTTAAAAGATGTGAACATCAAAGAAGATTGGCTAAAAACAATTAGCATTGTGTCTCAAAACCTGAAATAATTTGGTCCTATCAAGCGCCATGGCGGATTAGAAAAAATAATAAAAGAAGGCCTGCTACCAGGTAGGAGAGGAGTCAACCAACACAAATATGGGCACAGGATATAAGTAACTTCTTGAATATGAAAGTGCACAAGTTTCTTTCAGTCAGACCATGATAAGAACAACGTTCTGCAAAGAACCTGCTACATGATGATGCTTCTTCTTCTTCTTCTTTGCGTTCGCCAGCTGTAAACTCCGGCGGAAAGTTTTGGTTGTTCATCCACCTCTGGACTGCAGTCCTGTTCCAGAACCTGAGTGTTGTGTGTGCATCCGTTTGACAGATCTGACTAATTTGTATGCAAACTGCTGGTTCCTTACCTCTCAGGCAGATGCACTCCGACTTTGAAGAAAGCTCCCAATTAGTCGACTCTTACGACATGCTTTTGGGTAGGCAATGGGTCTATTCTTGTTTTTCCTATAATAGGGCCCCGGAACCAACACAGGGTATGATGATGCTATATCTCTATATATTTCAAAACTGTATGTAGATAAATAACATTTTAAAGAATTTACTGGTTACCTGTGTAAAATATTGTTATTTAAAGGATTTTTTTTTTTTTTGCAGAAATTCCCACAGGTTCATGGCCACTTTTTTTTAAACGTTGACAGGGTGAAAGGGTTAACTTATATTTGCTTACTACGTCCCGTAGTGGAGAATAGGCCCTTTATTGCAGCTGTTCATGAAATGGTCTTGACCAGATTATTGTATTTCTTATTTCTTTTAATTAATGCTCATTGACGTAAAATATTTTACTATAGTCTATCAATGAATGCATGGTTACGGTTGTGTAGTGTAATTTTGATGGTTGATTGTTTTTATTTTCATTTTTTTTGTTTTTTACTGTTTGTACTTCGTAAAGGACCTACAGTATGTGTCTCCATTCCACTCTTTCCTAGCACTTTTTTCAATGTCATGGATGGAATTATTCCAGCACCTTTGGCCTGTCTCATTAACCTTCTGCGCTGGTTGCTGAAGATGAGGACAGAGCATGCATGGGAATGTCCCGAGTGCTGTGATGTCAGTTCTTGACTTAACTAACTAATTAACCTGTATCTTATGGTTTCTTTTGGATGTCTCCATTTCCGGATTCCATGTGTTTCCCATTGCAGAGCCTGTTTGGTGATTCTGTGTTTCTGTCTCCTGAGGAAATCCCCAATACGTCATCACTCTTTGGTTTATGTTGCTTACATACTGTATATTTATCATGAGGTTTGTAAGTCTCGGAAGTGTTATCAATCTTATCCTGTGTCTCTGTTGTCCACTATATTTATGAGTTCTTTTCTTCTTTTTCCCTCTACCCCAGGACAGGGCAGGAGGAGATCTCTGGAATGGCCCCTTCTTTTCACTTCATATATCATCATGTAGCAGAACGTTGCTCTCATCACAGTCTGCCTGAAAGAAACTCAAGTCTCTCGCCGGTTCTCCCGCCTCATGAACTTTCACACTCAAGGAGTCACTTATATCCTGTGCCCATCCTCGTGTCGGTCGGCCCCTGCCCCTCCTTCCTGGTACCATGCCTTCTGCTATAATTTTTTTCCAATCCATCGTGGCGCTTGTTATGACCAAAATATTTCAATTTTCAAGAAAGGATGCTGTTTATTAGCCAATCTTCCTTGATGTTCAGATCTTTTAAGATGTCAATATTTCTCATCTTCTTTGTCCAAGATATTCTCAGAATCTTTCTATAGCATTTCAGCTCAAAAGCCCTATTCTCTTTCTTATGGACTTCATATATAGTATATTTATATATAGTAATTTTCCTTGGCTCCGATACTTATGCGGTCCATGTTCTGCGTGTTCAACCTCTGGATTTGTTACTGATCTGTTCTTTTCATTTCTGTGAAATCTTGTTCTGTTTGTTTCTGTGCAGTGTTGCTGTTTTTGTTTTGTTTATTTCTAAACGCTTCTTTTCTTTTACTCTGTATCTTCACCTCTCATGCAGGTCTTAAGAAATGTGGGACAGTGTTGGCAGGATGAAATGTTCACCTTCATTTTGTGACTTGTTTATGAGCTTTTTCGTCATCCCTGTTTTCTGGAAGCTACATTTCTTTTAGAATTCTGCTGCTCCCATATGAAGGGATGTCGACCAGGTTGTTTGATCTTATGCTGTTTTGTTATGACAATTGTGGTCACTGAGGAAATGGTGAGAGAAGAAAGCAGAGATTATGGCCCGGAGAGAATGAGGCACCTGGGTGTAAACAGAGGGTCTGGTCGGCTCACTACACTCAGAGGATAGGCAAGACAGACATATAACTAGATTGTGACCGGTACCATCAGTATTGGAACTCTGTGCTGGCTGCTGAAGATGAGGACGGAGCATGCATGGGAATGCCCCGAGTGCCGTGATGTCAATTGTTGACTCAACCTGACTCAGCAGAAAATTCTGGTTGTTCACCCACTTCTGATCTTTAGTCTTGTTCAAGAACTTGAGTTTTGCATGCACATCTGTTTTACAGTTGCAGATCATAACATATTTGTATTCAGACTGTTGGCTCCTCACCTCTCAGGCAAAGGCCCTTTTGCTT